GGGGGTTCTGGTACGGCCCTGATTTGCCCCGGCTGGGGGCGCGGGGGGTTCTGGTACGGCCCTGATTTGCCCCGATTGGGGGCGCGGGGGTTCTGGTACGGCCCTGATTTGCCCCGATTGGGGGCGCGGGGGTTCTGGTACAGTCCTGATCTGGGACGGCGAGCCCCGATTGGGGGTGAGGTGGTTCTGGTACAGTCCTGATTTGGGATGGCGAGCCCCGATCTGGGATACAGAGGTGGTGGTGGAGCCCTGCTCTGAAGTCCAGGAACTTGTTCATTGGCTGTCAGTTTAGGAGCCGCAAGTCGGTGCAGGGGCGATTGAACTTGAGTTTTGGAAATAGCAGGCGTGCTGCTTTTGGATGTGGGGCTGCTTCTGTGCGTGCTACCCAAGGCAAGACTTTTTTAAAGCCTGTTGAAAGCGCTCAGGGATTAGATGCACAGCTTGTGAAGCAGACCTGAGCAGGGCTTGGGAAGTGATTGATTTGGGGGTGCTTCTTCAAGGTACACTATTACCTTTCAGTCTCACAGCTCGGACGCATCGGGCCGGTGAAAGTCTGGCTGCAGCATGGCTGCTGGTCCTGGCAGCACTCGCCTGGGGCAGAAGCAAGCGGTAGGAAAACCTCGAAAGAAGAGGCCCCAGAGTGTGGTGGCCTGGCAGAACAAGGCCGAATGGGATCAGGTGATGGTGGGACTGTACTGTGGGGACTGCCAGCTGCAACGGGGAGCCCTGGACCGAGTGTCAGCCTGGAAGAGCAGGTGAGAAGGGCTGGGGATGGAGAGCGAAGGCAGCTGTGTGGTGTGGGAAGACGGATGGACTGCTGGGGAGAAGTGGAGCGTATCCTAATACAGCTTTTGCTAGGATTAAAGACCTGTCACACACACGCGCGCACACACACACCGAGGTCATGTATCCTTTCTTAGCACCTCCATCCCTTTACTCAGCCCCAAGTGTCCCACATGATTTTGGAAACGAGTTTCTAGGCAGTCACACTTGATGCCTTTCTTGGGGGCATCAGATGAACCTCATGCCCACCCTACCATCTTTGACCCCTTAGCTTGCTTTGTGTCACTGTGCATGGTGTCTGAGTTAGTCTGTTGGACTCATTTGCCTGTGCCTGGCAGGGGAACGTGCATAAGCTGGGAAATGGTGGGTTAGCTGCCTTTCAGGAAAGCTTGCCTTCTGTAGCTGATCTTCTCTTTACAGAACCTTGGAAATCTGGAAAAGAGCTTTAAGTTTTCTAAGAATACCATTTAAAAACAACTGCTCTGGCAGATCCATAATACGCCGCTTTGATCCTGAATTCGCTATGTCTCACCCTTTGAAATTAGGTATGGGAACAGAATGCCTTTAGCTGTGGAATGCACGGCAGATCTTGTTCGTTGTAAAATCCTAGATGCTGCTGGTGATTTGAAATCCCATGAACTGGTCCTTACGTACGGCCTGGCTCTCGTAAGGTGAGCGCTATGGAAGGAGGAAGGGTCAGAAAGGGGGTCTGTGCATTGCAGCAGCTCTGTGCTCTTTTGCCCAAGATGTGTGAAGTCAGGAGAGAAGATCAGCTCTCCATGGAAAGCTCCCGCCCCTTTCATCATCTTCCTCTGTGCATAGGTTTGTGAATCTCATCACAGAACGAAAGCAGAAAAGGATCATCACTTCGCTGAGATGGCTGGCTAAAGAGGTAACGGCGGTTCCAGTTGGTTCAACCCGCAGCAGTTGGAGTGGCTGGATGGGGTCTGGGGTGCATGTCCAGCAAAGGGCTTTGGGCTTGGGGGATTCTTTTCTTCTGTGATTTTTCATAGCCGTTTGGTTCTTATTCAAAGCTAGACATCCCTGTCTGGATTGTGGACCTTCGTCATGAACTGACCCATGGCAAACTTCCTCACCTGGTTGCTTGCCAAAAAGGTGAGAACAATCTGTTAGACTTGTCAGCTGCAGCAATGTTGTTGGAGGCAGGGATTAGCAGGAAGAACGGGATTATCTTAGTTGGGCTTAGCAGGACAACCTTTCCCATATCTGTTGGACTGTATGCTGGCTGGGGGCTCGTGGGAGGTGTAGCGTGACTTACCTGGACCCGTCAGGTCGGGTAAGGCTGCAGTTGGGTGTGGGGCTGCTGCCCGAAAGACTGCCCGAAAGGCTTTGCGGAAAAGGTGAGTTACAGGGAGAGAATTGAAGGAAGTAAAAGAGGGTCATTCTGCCAGAGGAGATGGGAAGGTGTCCTTCGATGGAGTGGGAGATACCAGGAGTGGTGTACTGGGAGCGTGGGTGGGGGAGTGCTGTCACGGCTGTGTCCTGCTGGTGGAGTCCTGGGGACAGCTGACTGGCCACTGTGTGAACACATGCTGGACTTGAAGGCCTGGTTCTGAGAACTTCAGATAGACGTGAGTGGTGGAACTGGACCGGCAAAGGGCAAGGGTGGCTGGTACCTCTCACTGGGAGTTGGAGCTTTCGTATGGGCTGGGCATCGGCAGTTCCACCCTTACCTCGCCCCAGGGCGTTGGTGGTGGGCTGTCAGAACCAGCATCGTCTCGCACCTTGGCTTGCAGTGCTGCGGTTCTTCAGAGGTGAGGGCTGTGGTGACGCTCAGCACTCTTCAAATGCCCCGCTTACCTCCAGCCCTTGCAGGTTGCTGTCCGAAAGAGTGGCCCCAATCCCTTCTGCTAGGTGCAGTGCTCCAGCTTTCCCACCAGGTGGTGCCATGGCATTGGGCTTGGGTTGGTGAATGCTTCCAGCAGAAGAGATGGGATCATGTGAGGCGGCCATCTGGAATCCCCTACAAAAGTCTTGGCCCCTTGGGAGCAGCTGCCCAGCCGCTTGCCATATGGCCATTTGCAGGGGCAGAGAGGGCCGTGGTGGGTCAGCCTGCAGAAGGAAGAGGGGTGCCAGGGAGTGCCAGGAGAACAAGCCAAGCTCTCTTGGCGGAAAGGTATTCTATAAATGTGCTAAGTGAGTGAACTGTAAAGATATGCAAAATCGCATATCTCTGTAGGGTCACTAAAAGAAACTGCATCCATAGCAGGACAGTAGAATAAGCTTGCATTTCGCATGTGACGGTTACAGATACGCCTCATTGCAGGGAGCAGCTTCGAGCAACAAGTAGAAAGTCCTTTGTCTGGCCAGGTGGGCAAAAGCTCTGCAGGGCCATCTTCCAAACAAGGTGTTGTGATGTTGTCTTTCCCAGGCTGCAATGTTGTGTTGGAGTGGCTCAAGCGTTCCTACTGGAGCCGCCAGTTTTGCAGTGACCAGGTGGAAGGTGATGATGAGGACGACGAAGAGTCCTCAGCAACAGATACGGATATGGACCCCAGTCAGGAGGAGCTGGAGAAACTGCAGTCCCCAGGCTGCCAGAAGCACCGGGAGTTCCACGGTGAGCCCCGCCGACCCCGGGGGACATGAGGCGTCCAGTGTCAGGCACGCTGACATCGGGGATTTCTCCACTGGTCACTCTGATCTGGTTGTGGCGGGGTGGCTCGTTTGTAGAAGGGGTGGGGGAAGAGCAGAGGCTGGACAGACCACATGATGCTGTAGCTGCAGCCACTTGAGCCGCGGCATGTCGAGGGCCTTGTTTGTTTTTGGTTTCTTTGTTGTTATGGCCATAGACCAGCATAACCAGTGTGGGCCAGCATGATGGATGAAACAATGCTTTTCCATTACCCCAATAGACATAACAATTTAAAATGAACTAAAAGACAAGAAGGCATGTAACAGACACTCCAAATTAAAATAACCTGGACCACATACCTGAAACACATTAAGGCGCTCAAGGCAGCTATGCATTTTCCTCTATACATTACTTAAGCTTCAAAATGTGCCCTTTTCTGCCTCTCTCTTTCTCCTCTAGATAAAGTCAGAGATGTCTTGATATCCTATAAAAAACAACAGTTCGAGGTAAGTTTCACAGATTCCTATTGTGGCCAGTAAATCCTTCTTCGATTTAAAACTGTGGCATAGAACATTCAAAACACACAAGAGTTCATTCTGTCTTTTTTGCCCTTTATGAACAGTGAATATGAGGAATTGCACCAATGTTTGATTTAAATGGGGAGGGGGTGTTCTGAACGTACATACCAAAGAGAATTCAGGTGTCTCAGAGGTGCAGGTTGATTTTAAGACAGTTCATCTCCTGATGCAAAAGGGTGGATCCAGCTGGTTTCCAAAATGTTTGAGGGGATTTTTCAGTAGTTCTCACTGGCCTTCATGTAGCCTGGCTGATTATTGGAATCAACAGCTCTTCCAGGTTCCCGAAGCATTCACTCTGCAGCAATTCTGCTTGACTTACCAAAGAGCAAAGAAATTGCAAAGTGGACAGCTAGAACCCATGCAAAAGTAAGACTCAGTTTGCAGGCCATTTGAAATCCTTGGTTGCAGCAGTGATGGCGGTGGAGAAGAGTTACTTCTCGGCCACATGCAAGTCAGTGGGGTCCTCCTGGGCATTGAACCTCATGTCCTCAAGGGCACAGAGACGGAAGATGAGCAGGGCAAGCTGTTCTTTCATGACTGAGCTGCTTTCAGGTACAATAATTGTCTGAAAAGTAGGATTTTTAAAAGGGCAGCAACTACGGAAATAGGAGTGGCTGTATCACCTCTCGCTCATCCCTCTCGTGCTTGCCCCCTTCCCCCACGGCCGCTGCCTGGCACTTTGCCTCTGATCATTGGTGCCACTCCTCCTGCTTGCCGTAGGTTCTCCAGAAGTCAAAGAACATTGGCCAGGCCTGTGAAGCATGGTGCGGTTCCTCCTCAGAAGCTGAGTGGGTTGTGGCCCAGATGAAAGACTTATTTCAAGAGAACAGGTAAGGGCTGGAGCGTCTGATGGGAGTCCAGGCTGCTGTGCCTGCAGAGATGCAGAATTTAATGCATTGTGAGTGCGGTTCAGTCCCCTTTCCTTCTGCCGTGGGAAGCTAAGCTCACGTGTCTGTTTCATCCACTCTGTTTGGTGTGGGAGAATAACATGGCGGAGGACCTAGGCTAAGCGGGTAATGGTTCACCAGAACTGGAGGCTGTGGCATGGAGTAGACCAGCCTTCAACTTCAGGATTAGGCTAAGCCATTCTTCCCCTCCGGGTGTGTTGGACCGCAGTCACTGCGAGGCCATGGGGCACCTTGGCAGCCCCAGGCTGGGGAGGGCTGGGTTTGGCGTTTCTCCTGAGCAGCTGCGAGGCAACAGTTCTGATCACACTGATACCTTTGCCTCCACCTGGACTTTCTCCCCACCCCTTAAGATCTGGGGTGGAGGCCCTTCTCTGGGAGCCCTCCCTGAAGGAGATTAGGAGGGTGAGTAACCAGAGAAGGGCCTTCTCTGCGGTGGCACCCTATTCTGGAATTCTTCACTTTATTCTTTTCGGTGCTAGGCTAAAATCTTTTTATTTTCCCAATGTTTTAAGATCTGATTGTTTTAACTGGGGCTTATTGTTGGTTGGAAATTTTATTTGGATGCTGTGTTTCATCTTATTTTATATTGTCCCAACGTTAAACTGTCCTGAGACCACGGTAAGGGACGGCCTAGAAAAGTTCCAAACAGATAAATAAAATGCTGGTTGGGGGATGGTGTGGGAGGGCTCCTTTGGGCTGCCAGAAGGTTTCTTTGGTCAGATCTGAGTTCAGCTGGAGCCTATAATCAGTGCAGCTCCCGGGTTGCGAGGGCAATGAGGAAGGGCCCCTGGCTGGGCCGGGGAGGGGGGTGGGACTCGAGCCCGGGCATTGGCTCCCTCACTGTGGGGCACACAGGATGCTGCCTGGCACTTCCCGTCCCGGGCCGTCTCTTCGCTGACTGTCAGTGGACAGGGGACTTTTGGCGATGCTGCTGCGGGTCGACCCCGAGGTGGCTTGCAAGCTGAGCAAGGGCCATTGTCCTGCTTGCTCCGTACTGGAATGGAGCAACCTGGAACTGCCCACAGAGGTTCTCCACCCGGCCCAGCAGCTTCCTCCCTTGAGCTGTGGCCTCTTACATCAGTGGAATGGCAAGAATTCTGGCTTCTGCAGTGTATGACTGTAAAGGAGCAAGGTCACTGGGTCCGGAATGGGTGTCCTGGAGATCGCGGGGCTGTCCCTTTTCCCCCCATGGCAGCGTCTGCTAAGCTGAAATGCATAATGCCCTCTTGTTGTTCATCACACGTTTCCCCATTTCCTCCCCATTTCACGGGGAAAGGAGCTCCTCCTAGTGAGGCCGTGCCAGACCCTGCTGTTGTGAGAGACAGGAAGGAGCCGCTATTTTCAGCTGCAAGCCTGAAATCTTCACTAGCTACTTTCAGCCCAGGCACACGCCGGGAAGCCCTGAGCAAATGACTCCAGGCTGAGACCGCATTTCTCTGCCTGGCTCACTTCGCTACTCTTCCCTGCAGAAAAAGGCGCCTGCCTGCCCCACCCCAAATCTGGCCCGTTGGCTGAAGCTTGAATGTGAGGGAAACCGCGCCCTGCAGGCACTGCCAAACACGCTTGCGGGGCTCCTTGTATCCCAGCCTCCTCTGCTGGGAAACACACGTCTTTAACAACTGTGATGCTTTGCTTTTTTCTGGGGGTTGTCCCTGGATTTGCAAACGTTACATGTGATCAGCTACTGTCATGCTGAATTGCTCAAAATTTTCGAAACGGGACTTGAGCAATGATTGGCAAAATCTTGAATAAGTGTGGTTTTCTCCGCTCGCCGTATTTGAAGATGAAACTAATTTGAGATGCACGTTGTCGGGCGAATTTGCTGGCGTGGTTTTGAACCTGAAGCATCTTCTATCGCCCAGGTGACCACAGCCTTGGGAATCTTTGCTTCCTGGTGGGTGGTAGACAGCAGGCTGGCTTGGGAAGAGGGTTGTGCCCCCCCCACCCCATTGATGTGCTATAAACAGCTCAGGTCACACCTGCCAGGTGAGGTACCAGTTTTGTACGCTCGCCTGTGTTCAAAAATAAGCCCTGCAAATAAAAACCTAGGACATTAACAGAGTTTTAGCCCAGCCAGAGGGTTCCTCTACCCAATCCTATAGGTATTTAGCTGTGGTATCTCTCACCTGCTGACTGAAGCCATACAGTCCATTCTTGTAGTTCGTTCTGTGATGCTGGGCCAGGTGTTAGATATACATGGGCAGGTCAATGGAGAGATTTTTCAGGGCTTCTTCCTGTGATTCCATTCTCTTCTTATGCCTACAAGCAGGGATGTGATGTGTCACCAGTTAGAAACCCCCCCCCCCGCCCCTTTGGCATACAACCTTCTGTCTCTCGCATGTCATCAAAATGCTGTTAGTGCTACATCAATTGTATTAGAGGGAGTTAAAGTTAGAACAGTTAAAAAAGAACTAGTGCGTAGGATTATAAAGAGTAATTGTACTACAAAGCCACATGTGTGCATATGTATCATAAAAGAAATCCTGTTTAATCTGATTTCTCTTGAATAACTGACAAATCTCGAAGTTCTCAAAAGTTAAACCAAATGCTGTGATGGGTATTCTTTACCTTATGGGTATGTGGTTCTTTAGAACGGCTTGAAGTGTGTGCCTAGAAAATAGCTATTCTTCCAGGTGATAAACTGAGAAAAATAATTTGCAGGACCTTTGTGGATGTGAATGGCTTGATTTGTGCTGCTTTCCCCCTTTTAATAATACTTTTAAAGAAAAAAGTGGTACCTGGTTGTGCGTCAGTGGATATAACATCTGGAAACGTTTCAGTGCATGGAGCATGAGGAAGTGCTTTAGAGAAGTGAACCACACAGAGACAGAAATAGAATTTCTTAGTTTCATCTTCTCTCTTATGGTATCTGTTCTCTATCAGGCACTGAGTGATGACGGTTCCTCAGGTGATGTTTTAAAAGGAATCTGTTTCCAAGCATTCCCTTTCCTTCCTCTTCAGGCCTTTAGGTCTATATTTTTCCATACATTTATTTGGGTACAAATTAAGGTGTGGTGGTGGGGAGAAGAGATCCACTCAGAGTTGCCCTGTGGTGTTTGCCCATGTTGTTGACTTCCCTGTCTTTTGCATACCCTCTACACTGAAAATGTGTGTTCATCCTTCAGGGCTCAAGAACATTTCAAGGATTTTCTGGAGCAGTAGCTTGCACACCCATTCATGGGTCAGTGTCCATGCTGACCAATGAGCATGTCCCCAAAACTGCCCGTATTTCTTATTCGTGAGCAAATAAAGCACAGGAAGAGAGCAGTTGTGTTTCTAAGCCTGGACTTAATCCCAAATAAAGAAGGCTTGACTCATAGAAGGCCCATGACATGGAGCGACCATGCTAGCCAAGTTATAGCAAGAGGGGAAGTACTCCTTGTTGGTGAAACGAATTAAAATTCATGTTTTTCCACCTGTTTATATTACTGCTCTAGCACAGCCTCACCTAGCCAACTTCCTCCCGATGGGATGGACTTAATTTCCATGAGGAGGAAATGTACGAGGCCTGGATCTCCTCAGGGCTTTCAGTTGACATATGGTGTGGCAAAATTGCTGAAGAACTGGCAGTTTATCTTACGATGTGGTTCTGGGCGTGTCAGTTCAGATGTCAGTTCTGTTGAGTCTAGAGAACCTTGCCTGGACTCAGCAGAGTATGTAGGGTTGGAGCCTAAGGATGGTGTCTGATGTATGTTGAAACAGAAAAGACGCCCTCTAGCCAGCCATGCTACTGGTAGCGCCCAGACTTCTTTCTTTCTAAGCATGCATCTCTTTGTACCCTTAATTGTGTTTGGAAGGTTTGCTGGGACTTTATCAAAAGGGACAGTGGGGCGGGGGAAATATTTACAGTAAATAATAAGTTATTAAATCAGAAAACAGGAAGTTAGCATGTTACAAACAAGTTATAGAAGAAAATCAGATCTAAAAAAAACTGTTGGTGGACAATGGAATTTATTCAGTATATTGCAGAGCAATTGCTACCACGCTGTACACAATCACAAAGGAGAAAGCGTTCTTTCATGGGGTTCCTTGGTTATGGGATGCCTTCCCTCCAGAGGTAGAGCTGGTGCCCACATTGTATTCGTTTGTGACAGATTAAGAAGTATTTTTATTTTCTCACATATTTAATTTGGCATGAGAAATGTCCTAGCTTGCGCTATGATTTTAGTGGATACAATGACATGAATCTACTGCACTGCATTTATGTGAGAGGCATGCAGACAATCATTCTGTCATAGGATACACGTAATTGTGAGTCGATGCAAGATCTGGGATGGAAAACCAGCACCTGGAGGGCACTCATGAGTATTCACACTTTCCACAGGGAGGTTGTGGCCATAGTTTTGCTTGACGACGGTTTCCTCATCCCAACAACAGAAGACCTGCAGAGCCTGAATATCAACTCGCAAGGTTGGTGACTTGGATCAGGGTGAAGGTAATGTCAGGATCTGTAGATAGATGCTGGGCGATTTGAAGTAAATCAGAAATGATTGTTCGCTCCCAGTAATCCAACCGTGGCACCTCTCCCCGTTGAAGGAGGGGGTAAGCAAGAACGTATTTTTTATGAAGGATGGAGAAGAACGCTCAGGAACATCTCCTAGATTCAGATTTATGTATTACAGGAATCACTTTTGCATCAATAGTCTGCGTGGTCCAAACCTATTTGGCACAAGCAGAGAATTACAGGGGAGGGAAGTGGAAAAGAGAGGAAGAGGAGCCCTTTGTTCATCCCATTCTTGATTTTTTTTTTTTTTTTGTGGGGAGCATTTCCCCTGAAGGTCAGGGCCAGAATTCCTCTCCATCCCCCAGGTCTTTTAAAAATAATGTATGCATTTAGCTTGGAAACATGAACTGCCCTGGGACGGATGGTGGTGTTCAAAACATTTTCTGTCCATTTCTTTTGGCTTTCTCTGCCTGGTGGTGGTGGGAGCACAGAAACCAAAGAGTGGGATTTTCAAATCCCTCGGACATTTCTCCGCTTCTGGCAGCCACTGCTGAGAGGCCTGCATTCCAAAGACTTCACACAGACTCTGCTGGAAAGAATGTTTAACGAGCTGAAGAAACACGCCCCGGGTCCAGAGCTCCGATCACAGTATCTCATCAACTGGATTGCAAAAATTTTGAAGATGAACATGCAAGCCAGTGAGTACTGGAGGACGTTTCGGCTCGAATGTAAGGCAGCACACGCTCTTTCGATCCCCTTCTGCCTGCTTTTACTCAGTCCTTGCCTAGACATAAAGAAAAAGAGAAAGGGGTGTGCTAGTTAGCATAAGGGTGGGGTGGGGAGTGCCGGTGAGATTTTGCCATTTAAATCCTGGGTGCCTGCTCCCTCCCTCCCTCCCTCCTCCTCTGTCTCTCTCTGTCTGTCTCGCACATATACTCACTTCTCACCCTTTACTTTGCTGCTTTGAGTATGCAGAGGGAGATAAGAGTTCCTGCAACCCCCAAACCACCATGCATGGTTTCTAGAGATGAGTACAGGCTTAAAGGTCCATAACCTCTCGCATGACCCTATCGCTTCTGTTGGGGCGGCTCTATCGAATTTCCTAAGGAGATGGTGAAACGCAGACGCGCCATTTCCGGTGCCCGATCTGTGACCTTTCTGGAATATAAGAGTTCTTCTTCGAGCTCCACTGCAACCTGTTCATCAGCTGCTCCCTTTCCCAAATGAACTTGCATACTTTAAAAAAAAAATCCGTTTCCCCCCCCCCCCTTTCCGTGGTTCTCTGTGAAGAGAAAAAGATGAAACACAGAAATAGAAACACAAGTTCCTCGGAGCTCTTTCTCCGGCGGGTTTCACTGCAATGGCCGAAGCTCCTGGAGGATTGCCTGGAAGCACCGTGCTGGGCGAGTCCGCATCTCCTGCATCTGTGAGTATGCAAGCGAAATAGATGCCAGGGGGAAGACAGGGCTCCGTGTCTTACTGCCAAGGAGCTTGCTCAAGGAAGCACCATGATGTGCAGCCGGATACCCTTGTATCCCCCCAGGATGAAACGTCCGATTTGAACGGGCCGGACTGGCATGGCTGACGTACAGAAAGGTCAAGGTTCCGTCTCTGCACCCGCAGCTCACGGGGGTGCGGGACCCCGGGGGTCAGGGATCAAATGAGGCCCTCCCGGGGGGCCAGGTTCCCCCGAGGGCCCCACCCTATTCTGGCATGCTACCAGCTGTTTGGGGGCTTCCCGGTGGTTGTGCCATTTCCTCCGCTGTAAAGGGGCAGAGTGCCTCTCCCGAGGCTTAGCTCCTGGCAGGAAGAGCTGAAAGCCCGAGCCGGCTGGTGTCGTTGGAATTTTGGCCCTGCCCCTTTTGCCCAGGAAAGCAGCACCCTGAGCAGAATCAGGCCCTGGGCTGAAAGAGATGCTGCGCCCAGGGTTAAAAGGAGCAGGGAGCAGGGATGGGGACCTTGAAGAGGTGCTGCCGGGCAGGGTAGACAATCCTGCACTAGATGGACCAAACCTCTGACCAGATGTAAAGCCGTTTCCTGTGTTCCTAGATTTGCCGAAAGCCTTCCTCTTTGGTAGTTTCACGCACAGAAAGGGTGCAAGGGTTTGTCCCTGTGATGTGAAACCGCCGCCCACTCGCTGTCACAATGCCCTTCTAACCGCAGAGGAAGACACCAGTCTTGCATCCTTGAGACCTGGGCGCTTGCAGGGGACTTCAGGGGAGGGGATTTTCCTCCACTTCACCTGACGTTTGGAGGAAAGTTGGACACAGTGCAAGCCTCTGGCTGCTTTTGACATTTCCAAATGCCTGCCCTGTGTTTCGAGACTGGCCCTGCCACCCTGTCGCTGCCACCCCCCCCACCCCCCGGTCTGTGCCAGGCCTTAGGTGATGGGGGCAAGGATGAGCCAAGCCCTGCTTCTCAGGAACTGCCTGCTGGACTTCACTGAAATGCTCCCCTCGCTCCCATCCTCTGTACATCCTTGTGGACAAGAGACTGCGATTGTCAGCCTGTTTATCTTGCCTTGTACACAAGCCAACAAAAGTTACCAGTTTGCTTGCTTGGATTTGTTTCTTGCTTTGTTTTGTTTCTAGGTCTGTTTTGTTTCTCGGTCTGTTTTGTTTCTGGTCTGTTTTGTTTCTGGTCTGGTCTGGTCTTTCAGCAGGCCTCCTGGGAAACCAAGAGCTGCCTGTGTTACCATGTGTTTCCAGAGGATGGGAAACGGATGCCTCGGCAGTTAGCTTAGGAATTCGGGCAGCTTGTCTCTGAGTGGGCATGGAAGGAGAACAGGCATTTGGTGGTGCTTCTTCCATAAGCACCACCAAATGCCTGTTCTGGCTGCTGCAGAAGAGGCTCTCCTTCCTCCCCGGCTAGCAAGGGACCGAGCAGGAGAGTGGAAGGATGGCAGAGCGTAGCCCTCCTTTGCCGGCCCCCCATCGCACTTACCTGGGTAGAATTTCTGACCACCTGGAGAGAGTTCCAGGCTTCTTCTTTTGATGCTTGTGAAAGCTGCCGCTTTGCTTCTCTCCTCATGCTGGTCATTTGTCCTGTCTTCCCTGCCAGGATCCTGACGAGCATGGAACCTCCTTTGCCCCCCGAATCCCAGGAGAAACTTCTGTACCTCACCTCCATCTACACCCAAGAAGACGGCTCCCTTCCCAGCCCGGGCTCGGCCGCGGACCTGCGCAAGCAGCCCGTTTACACAGTGGAGAGTCTGCAGTGGAAAGTGAAGCACAGCAGTGCGGCGCGGGGACTGGCCAAGCGCGCGGGGAAGCGGCCCGTGCTGCTGGATGGTCTCGAAGAGGAAGGGACGGCGGGGCAGGAGGAGGAGGAAGAGGAGATGGAGACTCAGCCGGCCCCTCTGCAGGAGCCCCTCCTGCCCGAGAGCGCCATGGCTCTAGCCGAGAGGAGGATGGCGCTGCAGGGGTCTGCCTGGCAGGTCAGCTCAGGTAAAAGCCGGGGTTCGGCTGGCTCGTTGAGTCAGGGGAGAGTCTGTGTGAAAAGCATGCTTGCTGGGGGTGATGGGAGTTGTAGTCCCAACCCGTCTGGAAGGCACCATATGTGGGGAGGCTGCCTGAAATATATGCTCAGGCACAATCCAGACTTCCAGAGCTATTTGGGGAGGTGGGACAAGGAGCCCTGCGTCTTCTGTGTGGGCCGGGCACAGCTTGGAAACATTCGCTCTTGCTGAATTGCGCCCTCTTAAAGAAGCATCTCCTCAGCAGACGGGGTGAAGTGGAAGGCGTTTCCTCTGGGGAGGCTTCCTGGCCAGACCGACGATCCGGACGGCCTGCTGGTGGAGAACTACTCCATGATGTCAGCGGTGGACCAGCTGGTGGATCAAGATGGGAGAAGCGACCCGAGCGGCACGTGAGTAACGTGCCTTGAGCTCGGTTGGACCTTGGCCAGGTGGAAGAGTTGCTGGTAATCGGTTGGGTGAGGAGAGGAGAGGAGAGGCCAGGCTGAAGCGCTGCCCGGCCCTGAAGCTCACTGGGTGACCTTGCTGGGCTCCCTCCCTCCCTCCCTCCCTCCCAGCCCAGCCTGCTTCACAACAGCTTTCCCCCCACCTGGCACCCTCTGGATGTGCTGGACTGCAAGTCGCATCCTCCCCAGTGATGGATGGTTGGGCAGTGCGGCCGAGCCCTTTTCGATGGCCCCAGTTTGGAGAATGGCTGGCTCCCAGGATGATCATTCGGATTAAATGGGTCCCAGGATCCCTGGGCAGAAGCCTGTGCTACACCCTGGGGTGTGTTGTAACACCCCTTTTTGTGGTCTGCGGGTGTCCTAAGCTGCACTTTCTCTATTGCTATCTTTATTTCATTCATTCATCCATCAAGTGGGCACTCGCTCTTGCTCAAAGCAGGGTCCCAAGATGCCCTTTCCCCGGGTGTTTCGCCTCTCTCGCCTTGCTTGGCCACCGGCACTAATACAGTGCCAGGCGCCACCGGATCCCAGAGCCCTGGTTGCTCACCTTTTGCTCTCTGGCAAAAGGGGTTTGTCTGGTGCAAGTAGCAAAAGCATGGGAGAGAGAGCTACCTACCCCGGAAAAGTTGGATCCCCCTTCCTAGTTGGGGGTTTGATGCAATCCTTCACTTTAACTCCCTGCACAGGCCTGCGCACGTCTACTCAGGTGGAAGTCCAATTGACTGTAGTTCTTACAGAAATGCAGCCCTGAGGCGCAATCTTTTGCAAGCTTGCACAGGAGAAAAGCTCTCCTACCGGTATTTCCGTCTAAACCTGCATAGGATTGGCTTCTTCATGTCTCTCCAGCCACATTGCCCTTCCCAGCCACCTTCTTTCTTCGTTTTCTCATGTCTGCTTATGGCACGCCTCTGCTTAGAGCCCACGCACTGTTCAGTGTCACACGGGACACCACAACACCCTTCTTTTTAAGTCCTTAAAGCAGCTGCAGTTATTGTCTACCTGAGTCTTAAGTTAAACTTGCATCTCCATATATTGGCTGCTTTTTAAACGTTTGCTTGACCCGATTCATTGGGCAGCAGAGTTTTATTGTTCAAAATACGAAGGGTAAATCATACTTTTCTTCAAGTGGGGCCCACCATTTTTGGAAGCCGAGACCAAAAGCCTCCCCTACATTCTCGCTGGCCGTTGCTGCAGTCTCCGGCCTCTGCCTGAACTCCAGGTGTGTGTTTCAGAAGCGTGAGGAAGCTACTGGTTCAGTCCTCGCAAGGCTGAAGCGTTCAAGGTGCCAGAGCAACATGGCAGGGCGCTAAGCCACCCCAGCCCTTTCTCCTAACCTTGGATTTGGGACAGTCCTGCCCCCTGCCTCAGCCCCAGAGTGACCCCTGCTCGCATGAGCTACAACAAGGGTATCGAACCGTTGTTATTCTGGGGGTAGGATTCCTCCCCCTCCACTGCCCAACCAGCAGCCTACTTGATGTGGGAGGGTGTGGGGCATGGCACTCTGTCCACTCTCTGGCGCCCCCTGGTCCCACTGCCATCTGTTCCGCTTTTCTGCTTGTCTCGCTCTAAGCTTTGGGCAAGCCCTTGGCTTCACATGCAAAGCCATGCTGGCATTCGGAGGGTTAGCGTTGGAGGACAGGCAGCTTCTGTGGCCAGAGTTTGGCCTGGAGGTTGGAGATTTCCCTTCTCTGATCTAAAACGAGAGCTGCTTTTCAGAAATCAATTATCCTTCCTGTGCAAATCACTCCTGTGCATCTGTCCATTGCACAAACGGTGCATGCGTCAGATCTCCGTAACTGACACTGCCTCCGTTCCTTTCTCATGTCTGCCTCGGAAGTCCTGTCTGCGGCTCGCCGTCTTTTTGCCTAGCGCATGCTTGGGAGCCGGTCGCACATGGGAGGGATTGGGGAACAGTGCAGGGGACACTAACCAGGCTCGGAGGTTCTGTGCCTCTTGCAATGCCAGATAGTCTGGAGTCTGTTTCTGGTCTCCTCCGGACCTCAGTCGGTGGGGTCAGTATTTTTCCACAAAGCTTTTGCTTTCAGCAAGGTGGCTTGTAATTGTCGCTTTGAGTCAGTGCTGCAGACTTGCATCAATTTGTCATCGGGACACTATCGCTGGTTGCCACAGCAGCTGAGGCAATAACAGCCAATTATTGCCACCCTGCTCAAACGTTCGAGCACATTCGGTGTTCCTGCGGCAGCAGCCTTTTTCCGAGCTTCCTTTGTGTGCTGTGGGTGGGAATTCAGTAGGTGGAGCACCTGCTTTCCATGCTGAAGGTCTCATACCCTTGACGGGAATCACAGAAGCACCAGCCCAGGGTGGCTGTAAATGTGGTCCAACACAAAATCGTAAACTTGCTTTAAAAATTATGGGTATCTTTGTGATTTTTCTTGTAACTCGATTGTGTGGTTCTCGAGCGTGAACTTTGTAGACGACAACGTTGTGTTGCAATGTCACATAAAATAACTTTTATGTGACATTGTGACATTATGTAAGCTCTCTTAGGATTATTCTCTCAGCCGCCCTGAGACGCTTTTGTGCATAGGGTGGGATATAAATATTTTAAATAAATAAATGCCTAGCCCAGTGATGTGGGCACTGACTGGCAGCAGCAACTCTCCAGGGTTTCCAGCCCTGTCTGGAGATACCGGGGACCAAACCCATGAGCCAGGGACCACTCCCACTGGGCCTTCAACTGCAACATCTGCCCTTCCTGCCTTCCCAGATGCATCCACATTTGCAAGAGAAGCCAGTATGTTACAAGGAATGCAAATGTTATGCCGTCTGGAAACTGAAATACTCACATGGGTGTCACTAGTCTCTTGCATAAATCTGAAAAATGGGGAAGTCCATGCCTAGACTTGCCGACACAGTTAGCCTTGGACAGTTGCTGGAAACATTTCTGTCTCCTATGCAAATACGTGATTGAGGACATTTTTCTCAGTAATGTGATGCCACCTCTTTTTCAAGCAGGCAGAATCAGGAGTGATAGAACTTAGGATATTGAGAGGCTTCAGAATTTGTCAGAGCTTTTTTGTTTTAGTGAAAGCTTGGCAGCCTTTCCTAAGCCAGTGTATCTTCCTTGTACTGTATTGCCTGAGATACCCTTTGTTTTTTATGTGCAGGCAAGAAACAGGCCTTATCATTGAATGAGTGTGCGAGAGACCCCTAAAATGTTCAGTTGCAGCAGGAGCAGCTGTTCAGCCCTAGACATCTTTTCAGAACTCAATCCCATGGATATCCAGGAGGTGAAAATAAATTCAGCGTATGCCGGGAATGGGCAGCTTCAAAGACTCCGGGGAAAATGTTTCCCCTACTGGGGCCTGCATCCACCGCTATCACACCTGAATGCCACCACGTTTTCCACATTTAATGCAAAATGCAGCTGGGAGCTGTGTGTATCCACACACGGGGGGGGGGGGGATGCAATGTTTTACATGGAACAAGGCCAATTTAAAGGGACAGCATGGCTGCTTTTTGCCTAAAACTTGGCAGTGTTTTGCCTTTTGAAAGGAGCAGAGGAGACATGGATGGCATCTGGATCCTTTGAACTCCATGTTATTTCCTTCCCAGCACAGATATGAGAAAGAAAATGCTGTACCTCTTGAATTGTTTCTGCTGATTGTGTGCACACAGCTTTTGATACCCCCTGTTCTAATATAACCTTTCCTCCCCTCTTTAAACAACCGATAGGGTGCTTTCCATCTGCCCAATGACCCTCAGTTACCTACACAGCAGAAATCCCTCCCCATCACCTCATTTAAGAGATTTTGTGATGTTTTTCTAACCCTATTTCGCATCTATTTTGATCTGTTTTGCGGTTTGTGGTGCTGTTCCTTCCTGTTTGCCCTTCCACCACTTAATTTACATCATTGCAAAGAAATTTTGAGAGGGAGCAGAAGACCCCGGTGTAAGGGAAATTCAACAGTCTCGGGTAGCGAGGTGTGAATTTTGTGGTAGGAAGCTCTGCTGTGAAAGGGAAAGAGGCGAGATCCCACTTGCCTGCCCTAGTTAGGAGTTTTCTCTCAAGCAGCAAGTTTCCTGTGGGCTGCAGGGGAAATTTATGGCTTGATACCAGCTGTTGCTATTACAGACCACACATTTGCTGTTGTGGAGAGGATGGGGAAGAGGAGACGATGGGTTTGCTCGCTGTATTCCCCCATCTACTTTTGTAAGCAAAAGAGGAAGAACTGGAGTGAAGAACTGGGTGCAGCTGCTTTCCGGAAGAAATCACCGCTGGACTCTCAGATGAATAGCTCAGAGGACGGGCAGAAATCTCTTTTACCCATCCCCTGCCTGTGCTCAGTTGTTTATTCTATGCAATGCCCTTGAAACTGAGTCTGTTTCTTTACGACTTCTGTCCAGAAGAACCTGCAGCACAGTTCAGTAGCATCTGACATGCTGCATCACCGCAGCTTAAATCTTTACTCCATCATGAACCAGCAAAACCAGGACGTAGGTTTCAGGCAGGACTATGCTATTAAGGTGGGACTGCAGGTGGCGCAGTGGTCTAAACCACTGTGCTGCTGGGCTGGTAGATCAAAAGGTTGCCGGTTCAAATCTGCACAAGGGGTGAGTTCCCGTTGCTCCGTCCCAGCTCCTGCCAGCCTTGCAGTTTGAAAGCATGCAAATGCGAGTAGATGAAAAGGTGCCACTTTGGTGGGCAGGCAACAGCGTTCCGTGCACTTCGGTGTTTAGTCATGCCGGCCACATGACCACGGAGACCGTCTGCGGACAAACGCTGGCTCCCCCGGCCAGGAAACCTTTACCTTATGCTATTAAGAGCTGGCATGGTTCTTAGTGGGTCCAATTCAATCATGAATCTTTGCTGGTCTCGGTGTCAGGTGAAAAGATTTGAACGATTTCAGTCTATGTTTCTTGAGCAAGCTGCACGCAAATGACATGATGGGGCCAAGGTTGTTGTGGGGCTGAGCTTGTGAGCTTGTATGTAAATCACAGTGGCATTTGCTGACAGAACATGTTCAAAAGTGACTGGATGGTTGTACTGTTTTTATCACATTTTAATCTCACCCTTCTTCCAAGAAGCTTATTTGCTTGGGATTCTGTAAGGTCTCAGACATCGTTTTTGCCCTCTGCTCTCTTTTAGGGGAATATTTCCCTCTTTCTGACCTGTGTGGCAAAGCCCACATATGTGATGCAGAGACCATGGCGAACATCATTCGGGTGACATGTGGGCATGTTGGGGCTTGGACATGAGGCAGATGCGTAGCTTAAGACGCCGCTTCTAGACAATTTACCAGCCCTCAGCATTGTAGGCCAGGAAACTTTTGTGCGTTCAGGCCTCCCAGTCTTCTTCTGTGTGTGTGTGTAAACAAATGTTCTCTGTATGTGCTGAGGCTAAGGTGTGCAGACTTCATTGGAATACTGCCGCTCTAAAGGCCCCATTGGTGCCATCCTTTTATCTGGGCAATTTCCTCCCAAAGGCAATCTGTCAGATGCGGCATTTTTTGTTGCTTTGTGTGCTAGCTTTTTGCTTCCTTGATTGGCTGTTCAGGGCCAACTTTATAGCCCTATTGTTAGGACTATGGCATTTTGGACACATGGTTGTAGAAGGGTAGAAAAGCAGGGTGTAAATTACCAAGTTACATTAAAAGTAAAGCAAGAGGAGAGTATAGGTAGGGTTGGGTATCAGCTTCTACAGAATGCTTGCTTTCATAAATACTGGATGGTCTTTAGCAAATCGTATTTAGATCTTTGGGGAATTCCTCCTCTGAGCTTCAAAGAACACCCTAGCTATTGGAGCGTGGCAGAAGATTTCTTCAGTATTCCTTATGCATGCAAAAGAAAACATTAACCAGTACTGAAGCAGGACAAAAGTAGCAAATGCTCAGTAATATAACACACTTCACTGGCAAGTGTTAATCAGTTTTACTAGAATAAATGTGGTGCCAGAGGTAAGGTCAGGTCGATGGTGGATGGCTCTTAGATGCCCACTGAACAAGCAGAAGATATTTCATGTCCAGTGGCCCGTTTCCACCCATGTTCTCTTTTCTGCCCTGTGTCACAGACTGTTCCAGGGATGACCGTGTGGAGCTGTGCAGAAAGCAGGATTGGGGAAGCTCTGGTGCATACAGAGAACACCAGAGTCCTTTGGATCAAAGCCTCAAGGAAGAAGCATGTATTCTTTAAAGCGGATCGCCAAGTCTGTGCCTGTTCCTAATTCACTTGAAAGGGATTGGGCGATCTGGGAGCCGTGTTCGCTGGCTACTAGAGCAAGCGTACTGAAAGCAGGGTGAAAGGAGAACACACACAGCTCACTCGTGCTTTTTTGCCACCTGGTAAAGCTCCACCGAAAGTGCCTGCCCAGCTTAGAACTAATTCTGCGCTTCATTTATTCTTTCCTCCTACAGGTCTTCAGAGTGGGGTGGCTCTCTTGCGGATGGATTATTATGGACCCAGAGTGATCTCCATAAGTTGAAAAGCGGCATTCAACTTTTCTGAAGGTGGACTTTATACCGACAGTACACAAAAATGTGTATGGCCTGAAATGTTTTTGGCCTGTCTGTTTTTGCAGACGTTACTTTAGTGCACTGCAGCTCATCCACCTCAGTGCAAATTTTTCTGTAAACTTAAAAAAGGGTAAGAATGTCTACATGTAGTGACTTTGTAATATGCGTAACAGAACCAGCCACTGTTTAAATATGTTCTGTATTTTAATAGAAGTGTATGACGATGCTCATTTTTCTTGACTGTTTAATAATGTGTGCTTTTTAATATGAGCTTTGATATCTGGTTCAGAGACATGGAACAATAGTGTGTTGCATTCGCTAAATTCTTGTAGAGCTTTAAAAGGCCTTTAAATTATGCATCCCAATCTGGAAGTCTGTCATTCATGTGTATGTCTCGGCCAAATTCACACTTTAAAAGAATAAACCTCTTTTTGAAATAATGAAACCAGCTGCAAAACTCATAAGACTTTCTTACAGTAAGTTGCAAAGAGAATTACACGAGATGATTGCAGAAGTAATGAGCAAGTGACTCGATTTATTGAATACAGTTATAGAAATACCTAAATATAAAACAGCTACACAAAACCTGTTATACAGTAATCAGAGGTATTCTGATTGGGTGGGAAGAAATACATATATATATATGTCCTATGACCTTTGAGATACATTTTCAGAGACTTCATTGCCAATGTTGTTCACTAGAAATTGTGAGTTATACATACAAGCAAACTGGAGCTGTATTAGGAGCCTCCTAAGTCAATGGGCACTTGTTTTTTTACATGAAGTAACACTGACATCAGTGCTAGGGTGCACATGCTTGTCTAAGTAGCAGGCCAACGCAAGAGGAATGTCCCGAAATTATAGAATCTCAGAGTGGCACACATCCAATTGATCCTATCTGAGAAGGTCTGCTTCAGGTAGCTGGCATTTCCCAGTGAGTTTGGCTTGAGCTTCCTGCCAAAGCCACAGTGATGCTGTTACTAATCAGCAGAGCCAGGTGAGCTATGCCGTCCGGCAAGTCCTCTACCTGAACCAACACAAATGAAAAGCTTTGCACTTGAAAACATTCAGCAGTCTAAGCAAATCACTTGGTGCTAATCAATTCTGTACTCTAGGTAAGATGTGCCAACTTGTGCCAGGCCTGAGGAAATGTAAACCAGACTCAGAATTCAGTGATGACATCAAGCATGTTCAGTGGGACCCAAGAGCAACTGAGGTGATGGCAGGCCCAGCAGAGAGTTTTTCAAGTACATCACTTGTTCAGCAGATACTACCAGGAGACATCTACAAACTAATGCTCTAGATAACTAAAAATATGAAGGCATCAGTTTTCACATTAAGGGAAAATAACATTTCCGTCCCTCTTGCAAGCAGTGCTTTGGTGATTATCTCAGCCATTTAGTTTATAAAAACACTTTTTACAAAGGCAGTGTAACATCTCATCCCAGTGAATGCATTAAACATGCAGCTGTAGATAAAAACATTGCACAAAATACTAAACCAATATTGTACACCACACGCTGGCCCCGACTCTGCTCTCGAGGTACACAGTTTCTCATCCACATCTGCAGCAAGCAGCCCGTTCAGCAGAACCTGAGCGGCCAGCCTGGCCCACAGGCTGCTTCGACACTTGCAGAAGATGCCTTTGATGTACGCATCTTGCTGGATCGGGGCAACGGGCTATGCAGTCTATCTTCAGTCTTTGTCATTGAGACTTACATTATATTTGGGTCCACAAAAAAACCCAAAGAGATTTTATAAATTTTTACAACAATTAAACAGGAATGTTTAATTCTACAAATGAGGAAAGCAAACTACTGTAGCTCGACAGGACAACAGCACAACTAACAGTAGTCAAAATCGTGTATACAAGCAAAAGCAATACTGAGTGTCGTATAATATCTACAAAACTGCTTAACTCAGGATAGCATTTTAAAATGACCTTGTGTGTTTTCCCAGGTAACATCTCAGTTGCGGAGCAAGCTGAATATTAAGCCCTCCTCAATAATAAATTACAGAAAGTTAAAATTCAAATAAATATTTTACAAAAGGGAGATTACTGGGCCATTTTTAGTTTAGACAGACAGACAGACAGATAAAATATTCAGTAGCTGTTTGGTACACAATTTAAAAAAATTAAATACTGTGCTCTCAAAAAGAGCATTGTAAAACAGTGTCTTATATTTACAATATAGGCAACTATGACTTGTTTTTATATCATCCCTTCTATGTTAGAAGAAATTCTGTGTTAAGAGATGAAGGCAATGCAATGTCAGTGTTTCAAACTGGCATGGGAAAAGGAGAGGGAGAAAGCGAGAAGTGTATCAAGACAACAAATGTTTTAAAGTTTAAAATTGAAAAATGATTGGTCAGCAAAAATGCAGACTAATTCAAAATGTTCACTCTCCCTTCTGTCCTTGGAGAAAAGACAGATTTGGGGCCTATTTGCAGGGACCACCTTCCTTCCTTAAAGAAAAATGCATGCTACAGTTATGGTACATTGCTTCAAGAAAGCACTAAAAAAAGACTTGATTGTTTATAAATATAGAACTAAACATCACATAGGACTAAATATAAAACTTTTACTCACTATGACAGTAAAATATTTTAGTCCCCAATAAAAACCTCACGCAGCAACCTCAGCTCAGCATTACGTCTGCTGAAAGACGCTTCTAAAATCCCTCGCAACAGTTTGCCTTAAAACAGGAATAAAATGGAGAATGGCCCTTTTTTGTACAGAAACAGAATTCCATGCAACAGTTTGCAAGTGCACAAAATTTACACCGAACTGAGTATTTGTCCTGCTAAAACAAAAGCTGGATGCACAGCAGTTTTACTGTCAATAACTCCATGTCATGGGCTTACAACAGTGTATAAATGTGAACATCAACAACCCTATCAACACTGATATTTTACAAAAAATAATCCATTGCGAGAATGCATTCATTTAATAAACAGACTTAATATAACTTATGCAGCATAGTGCTTTTAAATGTACACGCGTAAGTGGTGCACATCAGAGTAATAAAGTGGATTTCAAAAGTTGCTTTTTTCTATAAACTGTTAAGTGCCCATTTTAAATAAAAAGATTCATAATCTGCCATGGGCTACTCTCCTGTGACACACAGTGTCACAAACATAGTGATGAAAATACAATATTGAAGCTAATCTAGAGATGGCTTTTGTACATTTTTTATACAATCAAGAAAGAGATACAATTTGTATCAACAAACAAAAGGTCGTTTCTGGTTATTTGAGGCGTTGCTCTCAGCTGCTTTTGTGTAACACACACGAGAGAAGTGCAAGTTAACTCGAAGTATAAAATAACTCAATGAGAAATGGATCCCATTCTGACTGAGAAGATTCTAGTTAAAAGAGCAGGTCCAAAACAGTTCTGCAAACCGTTTTTTGAATGTAAATGCCCAGTACCTTTACCGTTTGTGTCTAATGGTGCACAAATCAAAGTACAGGGCTGATCCAATTTCTGGGGTGCCCTCTGAAAGGACTGGGTGAAATGAGGCGGAGGGCAAGAGCCCTCCTGGCTGTAAATCAACAAGTGCACCATCCAAAACCTTTCTACGGGCTCAGCAATGGCTGAACTAACCGGTGAACACACAAAGAATGGAGAAGTACAGTGCAGCACTGACATTCCTGCCAGGATTCGAGAAATGCAGCTGACTACACACGGCTCTCGGGAGTTTGAACACCGAGAAATAAAAGTGGATGACGCCATTTCCAAACAGAGCAAGATGCCGTGAAACAGCACTCGTACGATGCGGAAGTGACCTCCGAGTCCCTGGAAACTACCAAGAAGTTCTGTCATGGGTGAGCAGATCCTCTGGCCTTTATTCTATTCAGGTGGCTGTGCCCAGACAGCACCTTCCTCTCGGCTCAGCACTTGTGCACTCGGCAGGATCCTAGCAAGCTAGCCAAGTTCCTTTCCCCCCTTCTTTTTGGCACTGAGGATGGGTGTTGCCTGGCCCAGACTCTCAGCCCAGTTTGACTGCTGCAAACTGGAGCAGCATGGCTTGGGATTGCTACCAGCTCTTGGCGGGCAGTGAACCGCCAACTTAACGCGTGATGATCTCTTCACCATCCCCTGAAAGTATATTCATGCGACACAAAACAGAAATGGGCCACGAGCCATTCCGGGCATCAGTGCAATCATTCAAGTAGAGGACACAGTACATTTGTTTGTTTGTTTGTTTGTTTTCCCACTGGGATTAACAAATAACCAGAAAGCAGCTTGCAAGCCGTTATCAAAACACCAGAAACAACCCTGACTGCAGCCTCACATTCCGTGTGTTTCATAGTAAGAAACATTTAGGCAGTGTCACACCTTCTCATGAAGAAACAAAAGGCCAGAAACCAGGCCTTCTCGACTTTCATGAAAAAAAACTACAGTAGAAGTCAACAAGTCCTAGCTCGAGACATATCGAGTTAGTAGTGGTTCAAAATGTTGAAATACACATTTGGATTTAAAAAGGGTGTCCGGTCAGTGCAGCTTAAAAAACAACGACAAGAAGAACAAAGCCATCACAACCATAAATACTTCTTGTGGGAGACATTTAGCTACAAAGTTGCCCACCCCTGAGCAAAAATACTCATTGCCAAAAATTGCCACCCACAGAATGACAATTCTGGTCTGTCAAACAAGGAATTCCAGGAAACAAACACACACCTTTGCATGGATTTTAAAGTGCAAAAAACAAGCAAGCTTGGCAGTAACCCCAATTCTGAAGCATCCCTTTGAAAACTGGATTCTGTTCCAACATCAATTAAAGCCAATAGGGAATTTTAAAAGCTAATTTGTGTATTCATACATTAGCATCCATTCGGCACAATGGGGGTCGGGGGATATTTGGTCAAAACATTTGGAAAATAAAAGCAGAATTAAATCTGGGATGCTACGACTTGACTGCTTTTGGACTAGAATGAATTGGATAGATTTAAAATCTCGGAAATGCCAATTAGAACAACAATCCTTAAGTGCAAATATTACAGCAGTCCTTAGAATGATTTTATCAGCTTGCAAGAATGATTTTATCAGCTTACAAGGGATCAATTTGTCACTGATGTTCCCCTCCCCACGGGGCACTAGCTAAAGCTATCCAGAAGGTCGAGGTATACATTGACTGTATTTCATGCACAAATCCCCTTTTCTTCAAGGTTGGGCAGTGCTTTTCATGTGCAAAAGGATATCTATTGCACACACAGAGGATTCCCTGGATAACTGGGCCTCCCCCAAAAGCCTTTTCATGCACGAACCACTCAGCAGGGCAAACGCCCTTTCAGGAAATGAGGCCTATCAAGTGATCCATCTTTTCCTACCCTATGTTCTTTGACGACGGATGCCTAACCACTGTCTGTGAGGATGTTCAAGTGCACAGAGCTTATTTTTTGGAGCAACATGTCAGTAAATACTGAAAACTACACATTGTCTCATGCAATATAATTGCTAACAGTTTTTAAGGACCTGTTTCAGACATAAACATATGACCTTTTGGATTCAATAAATGATACATCCATGCATAAGGTACGCACTTCCTGTAAAATGCCTTTTTAAAAAATCCCTGCTTTAAAAATTTTTAAATACTCATATTTATAATACAATCAGCTTTTACAGAATGTTACACACATGTATTAAATACAATTGTTACAACAATCTACAGAATGGTATACCACAGTTAGAAACTATTCACAAAAAGGAAATATCTCTTTTCATTCACAGAGTTCTCCTCCAGAATTCTTGCATGACATTTTCAATATTTAGCCTTCTTTGAAGCTCCTTTTAACGACCTGTTCTCAATCTGGCAACAATCACAGCTGCCAATTGTTGTGCGTCTGTCATGTGGGGGTTCTTCTCCATTACAGAGAGGACGACACTGGCAGGAAAAATGTTGCAGAGGTTCTTATAGGTCTGGTACTGATGCTCAGGAATGACGTGCTGCTCCTGGGGCTCCCCGCAGATTCCAGCCCACGGATTCCGCCAGAGCTGCTCCATCTTCTCGGGCATGCTGCGCACCATGACAGGCTCATAGCATGGCTGCATGAGGCTGTTGCTCAGCGGGTAGGAATGGTATGCATAGGCATCCGTCGCGCACGGTAATGGATCCCAACTGGCATGCTGCTCACGACAGAGGGGTGGCCTTTTCTGCCGCGTGGGGTTGCTTTCGTAAAGCCGCGAGTCGGAAATGCTGTCCATTCTGGTCATAACGAGGGCGCGGCTTGGCTGGGCAGAGGCGGATGGATGGACCTTTGGAGGTGCCGGATAGTCTCCAGGGCAGCTGGACCGTGCCCCGATGACGGGGTGTTGAATGTGCAGCGCCAAATGGGAGGCCGAATGTTTGTGAGGAGGATGCTTAGTTCCTTCAGTGCCATAGCTGTGGACTCTCGTTAAGGTCTCATGATAACCATGAGAAAAAGGCTGGAGACGGTTTTGTGGTGGGAGCCGATGAACCTTCACGTTCTCTTCTTGACTTGCATCTCCGACACCCAGATACAAGTCAGTATACGAGGAATACGAATCATTATTTGTATGGCTTAAGCAACTGTCAGGGCACGGGCTGGAATTTCTCGAGTAAATGCCTTGGTCCACATCGGCCCCGTAGTAATCGGCATTATGCATGCTGCCAATGCTCAAATTGGAGAAGTCGCTGAGCATGGAATAGTAGCCTTGATCTCCCAGAGACTCGTACTTTGGGTACTGCTCTGTGTAGTTGATTGAAGCACCATGGCTATTGGTCACCAGGATCGGAGGATACTGCACACTGGTCATGTGCTCCAGGGAAGATTTCTGGTGTGTGAACTGTGATGAACCTGGCACTGGGCTACTTGCTGACCGTGTATTTAATGCCCCAACTGGATGGCTTTTGGAAGGTGGAATGGTTGGAACACTCAATGCTGACACAAGAGAAGGGACAGAATTGGCCTCGGACTTCCGTGCCATTGACAGCCGGTCCTCGGGTTCCACAGCCACTGACCGAATGCTTGGATCGGACTGACGTTTCGGAGCAATGCGCTTCACTTCTGAAGTGATTTCTCCTTTGGAAAGGGCTGTTCCGGTGCCACATTTAGCCAGAGCGCCTTCACTCATCGTTTTCACAGCCGATAATTTGGCACTAATGCGAAGCTCATCTGCCACGGATCTCAGTGGCTGGTTTGCTCGTTCTGGGTGATAATATTTACATTTGTGTCCATAAGTGCACTTTTTGCCTGGAAAAAATGAAATCTCTTAGCTTAGGTCTTTCCAAGAGATGGATCTTGGATAGCTAAGGTCAAGGTCTTTTACGCCTGCTGCAACAGTCACAGTAAGAAGGTACTCCTATTTTCATATGGATGAAAGGGAAACACAGTTCCCTGATAACAGGCCAAAATGCACTCTGTCTCTGTCACTGTTTCCTTTTCCTTTCCCAAGCGAGATAAAGTGTCCCGAAGGCACCAATTAGAGACACCCAATAAAGATCCAAGGGTTTGCCCAATACAAATCCAAGGTCTTTGTAACCCCATCATCTGAACAAGGCCTAGGCATGCAAACTGAATGGTCTTGGGCCACCATCGCTCTGGCTAGCTTGCAACAGGGGACAATTGTGAAGGCAAGTGACAAGTGTGAAGAGCACTTCCTCAGTCTCCCAGCTAAGGACCATGGAAAGCTACCCAGTGGGACCCACACCTCCCCTGGAAAAGCTGATCCTCGGCTGTGGATCTGTCAAGTGCCTTGCGGAAGACTTATTTTCAGGTATCTCTCTGGCTTTTCAATACCGATATAGCAGATTCCTGTTCCATTCTTGTGTTACAACATTCCATGACCGTTTAAATATACTTTTTTTTTTTTTTTTGCTACTGAGGCATTTGGGCCATCTGCCTCATCATGTTTCCAGCATAGGAGGGCTTAAATGCTTCTAAGAGCTGAATGATCTGCAACTTTATTTTCTTCCAATATTTTAACCCATGTTGGTTGTCAGCTGAGTAACTCAGAGTCAAACTAGATATTGAACATGTGTTTGGGCCACACTTACCCACGCTCAAGGCTTGACTATGAGTGGAATGTGGGTTTTTCACTGAATGCGGCAGCGGGGGCTGTTCTACTGTGCTTCCTGAACCTGATGAGATACCAACTATGGTATACAATCTACAGTTAATGACCCAACAACAAACCATGTGCTCTTTTGTGATTAATAAGCCATAACTTGTTAAAACAACTGGATTCCAACTATATGACAATCCATGGATCAGTAACAACCCACACTCAACCTTTGATTAGGGATTATCATGCTGTCTGATCTCAGTTACTATTTCGTATGGACAGATGTCCCAGATAACCCATTAGACTTAGAATTACTGACAGTTATTAATTTCTTGTCCTACTCCTCTACACAAGGAAGAGCTGCACAACTTACCATAGGGACAGGGTTGTTTTTTGTGCTCTGGAATAACAGGCTTTTTCCTTAAGAAGTTCTCCAGGCTAGGACCATGGCGTCCTAATGGGTCATCAGGTGGCATAAACCTGGAAGGAGAGAGAGAGAGAAATGTTACCTGTTCGTGTTAAATTTAACTAAAAGTGTGAAGTGGCAAGAAGGGAACTGTTGAGAAACCACCAGCTCAAATTTTGTCACACCTAAGAGCTCAATGGGGTGCCTCTAGCAAGCCACTGTTCTCGTGCCTTCTTCCCCCAGCAGACCCAGAAAAGGCAGCAAAAAGCTAACCAAAAGGAGCAGGGGACTGAAGCACAGGCTAAAATGGGTGGGCTTTCCTACTTCAGAACCAAAATGACTGCAGGGAATGGGGGGATAATGCTGGCCTACCTGCACAGGAAGGACCAATGAAGATATAGGCAAAGTCACCACAACACGATATAGATGTTAACTGCGTTGTTGTTGTTGTTGCAGCTTATAAAGATAAACCACTTACTTGTCATTCACAAAGGAATACATCAGCAGCCGTTCCTCTATGAATTTCTTCCATTCTGGCTTTTCATTTTGGAGATCACGGTAATTGTCATTTGAGACGATGATGCCATCGGAGTCATAAGCCAGTTTCACTATGAAACGGTCATCATAGCAGACTACCCTTCTCCCTTGCACTCTCCGGGATGGGGTGAAAACAAGGATCTTTTCCTTTTCCAGTTTGTGTAAAATTTCTTGATCTGCAAAATCAGGTTTATATAAGACCCCCTTAAGATCAAGGTGCTTGGATAAAGAAATAGTTGCTGAAGTCTGCCACTGTTTGCAGGTCCTGTAACTGTAACAGGAATACTTTCGGGCATGTGTTAACATTGTTGTTTAGATTATGTCACATTTAACCTGAATCCAAAGAATGCTGGGTATTTTTCAGGAAAGGACTGTAGTGTTGTGGATGTCTATGCTCTGCTCTCTGAAAGGCTGCTCTCCTATCCACCCCTCAGAGTACCCAGGTGGAGGGAAGCCTGAGCCTCCAGACACTAGAAAGCTGAACTGGGAAGCTGAGCAGGGAGGGATTAATCACTTCCCCTGAAAAGATGAAATTAAGCATCTAGCTGCTGGGCATGAGCTCTGACCTTAAGGGTGAACCCCACAACCACCCCCAAAGAACGCCTTGCCCATAAGGGCAAAATAAGTTTATTTGAAAGGGGAAGGAAAGGGGACTAGAACAGTACAAAAATGAGAAAGAAAAGAACAGCGGGGAGAAAACAAAAGTGAAACAACAAAGCCCCAATTCCCAGGAGAACACAGATGCTTGGGTGGTATCACCTTGAGAAGGGAATGACAAGCACTCGCTCTGCTCTACACTGCCTAGGTAATGGGCCTCCCTAGAGTAGAAGTCCACCAAGAGCCAGTCAGCAAGGTACCTCTGGTCAGCTGACGTGCCCAGAGGGAGACAAAAGCCCCATCCCTGTTTTCGTTTTTATCCCTCAGCCCTGGTAATAGTTCCCAACAGCCAGGTCTCAATTCATCCATAATGTCGCTAAGTATCTGCCACCTAGGGCCCTTCCCCGACTGGAGGCAGATGAACACAATTTGGCCCCTGCAATAAAACCCAGCGAGTTGCTCTTGGATGCAGATCTGCCCACGTTCTTCTGAGAAGCCCAGGGCATACATCTCCTGAGCCTCACTGTTCATCTCCTCACCAGGGACCAACACGGGGGGAAAGTGTTCCCATGCATTAACCCTGAGTCAATGGCCCTCTGGCCCCTACCAGGTCTACTGTTCTATTATTCTCTGATTCTATGACATAAAATGAAATTATACATGGAAAAATGGGAAATGGTGAAAATTTGCTACGTCTTGTTTAAATCAAAAGATCTACTTCATAACAGCAACTGTTACACAATAAAAGAAACAGATCTGTGTTTGAGCTGTTACCTGTAATTGGTGCATCTGGTCGAGACTGCTCTTTTCTCCAGGTAGGTACAAATACTGTAATATCTTTGTGACCTTTCTCTAGAAACCAGTCAACAGCTAACTGAATCCCTCTGCAGGAAAATCCTTCTTTATTCCCATGGCTGGAAAACAAAACAAAGCAATTCAGAGTACTGGTTTTAAGTAATGCGGTACTTCTTGCATCCTAAAATGCCTAAAACTAGACAAGCTAATGCAGTGTGGTGGCTAGTTCTGGGGGGGAAAAGACAACTTTTCTCAACACTTTTTACTTTGATTTCTGCAGACTCTATAAGGAGTATTTGTGATACCGGCACCATAGCAAATTATCTATAAATTGCAAACTGCTTGTTGAGCTTGTGTTCCAAAGAGAAATGAATCAGTACAGAGTGTGAATAACACTTTAACTATCTACTTACGTAAATCCCATTCTGATGAATAAGAGTAAAACTTGAAATTTATTTGTACTTTGAAGTAATGCTTCATTGAATGGACATGGAAGTGCATTTCATATTCCTTACACACTAGAAAAAATTAACTGTGCCATCCTAGACAGTTTTTACTCAGAACTAAGCCCTACTCTAACAGGATTTACTCCCAGAAAGGAGTTCATGATGTTATAATTGAAACCTTAATGAGCCACACAATGATGGCCTCTAAGTTAAGTTACACATGCAGTCACATACGCAGCAAGATTTCTGGGTTCCAATGACTGATGCAAGAGATATTTTAGCTAATTTACTGTAACCACTTTTGAATGTATTATATATTGTACGCTTGCCAAATTACCTCATTGCCACATTACTTCCATCAATGACAATTGGTCTCAAGTTGTCAGAACTGTCCACCACTTCATCTTCCAGGGACAGCTCAGGACTGGTGGTCTCCTTCGGACCGGTACCAGAGGTGCCAGTGGTACTTCCAGTACTGGCTTGCCCTTCATTCTCAGCCTTGTTTCCAAGCCTCACCAGCTCCGCCAAAATGTCATTGATGAGAGCGTCAGCTCCCAGCTTGTTCAACACAGCTTGAATCTGATCTCCAGCATATCCCAGTTTTAAAGCAAAATCGATTTTAGCTTGATACTCTTTGTTCAAGTTCGTTTTACTCTCTTCCAGTTTTAAATCCTGAAGGAGGCTGCTCTGAGAAAAACTCGGACGATCCAAGCAAGGAGAGCGGCAAAGCTGCCGATGCGGCTTGTGAGAAATCTCCTTCTCTCTCCACTGAGAGTTGCTGCAGCTGCTCCTGAAGTAAGGCTGCTCCGGCTCACTCTCCGAGCTTGTCCATTCTTCTGATTCTGCACTGCAATCCCTGCCCTCTTGCTCCGTAGTCCTCTCTTCTTGGGAGCGCCTCTTTTCCATCTTCAGCCTTTCCACCATAGACCAGGCTGTCATCACGTTCACCTTCTGACCAGGTAAAACCCAAATCTCTCTCACTGCCAAAGCTGCCCAGAATTTGTACTCAACTGTATCATCCTGTCAGTTACTTTGCAGGCTGGGCTTGACCTGCGATGAACACAAAGCCAACCATATGCTGGCGGGAAGAAATACACCACATACAATTAGAGTGTATCAATTGATGCGAAATAATAGACACTTTTACAATTTATATCTGTTTCATTGATTATAAAAGTCTGCAATTCTGTTATGTTGTTAATGACAGAAAATTTGACACGATTGCCTTCATTCCTGAAAAAGATTTAAGACAAGGAAAGTAAATATACCTGCACCATCCAGTGAATTCACACATGTTAATGCACTCTCAGTTTCCTGGCATAACCTCAGCTATGGAATAGAAATGTATCTCCATTCCAGAGAAATAATGCTTTGGAAGACCATGTGAGCGTCCTGCTCATCCCACCAACTCATGGGTCAGCTGCATGAAGGGCCCCATCCCTCCCTCCCTCCTTGCATGGAGCTGTAGGGCCCCTTCCTTCACATGGTTGTCACGAGTCTTTGCAGGGGGAAAGGCAGAGCTATGCAGTGAGGGGTTCACTCAAACTCCCCCTTAGTTACACTTCAGCCTCACTGAACGGGGCATGTTAGCTGTAGCTAACTTAAGCACAGCTTTGCCTCCAGGTGTTTTATAACAAGGAGCACGCTTTGTTTATGTCTCTTCAGCGCGAGATCTTTACAGCAACATCTACACAGCCAGCCAGCCAGCCATGTTCAGTGGGGCTTGCACCCCATTTCTATTCCACAGAGCAATCCTACAAATGTCTACTGAAATATAAGTCCTAGTGATGTGCTTTACTCCCAGGTAATTGTGTATGGGATCACAGCCATCAGGCACAGTCCAGTGGACCGCATGCCCTCAATGCCCGTAAGCCTTTGAACTCACAATAGGTGATCCACACCCCCGTGACTAAAGTCTGAAACGACTAAACGCTGAAGACTGTGTATTGCGAAAACACACAAGTGGAACTGTTTCTATGTGACTAACCACCCAAGTGCCATCTCATCCAATTGCCTTATTTATCTAAGACAGTTTCTATTTGGGAATATCTTTCCTTCAAAAATCCCTCCCATTTTCTCTATCAGGAGATGGAGGACGTAACCCTTTTTATGAGTTCCATTAATTTCTATCCCTTCTGTGGCTTAATTGCATGCCATGCAGATCTGCCCAGTGGAATCTATGGGACTTCATTGGTAATGACCAACTTAAGTATGAGTAGCAATTTCAATGGGTCTGCTGTAAGTATGAATAAGGCAGTGCACCTCAGGCGTCCATCTATGGAATAAAACTGGAATAGCACTACAAAAGCTAACTGTACTAATGCAAATGCAAAATGTACCCCCTTATGTTAAAATATAGAAGGACACAAGGCTTCTGTATAAGAGTATGGAACATAACGTCAGATTTAAACAAACTCTGCTTCCTCTCACAATTGAAGACCTCAATGTACTTGCAGGATCTCTCTGTAGCTAAGCCTAGAAAGGCCTTTGCATTAGCCTTTTGGAAAGCTTTTGAGCACATTTCCCTCATGAGCCACTTGGCTTCCTTTATCGCGGAAGCAGATCTTTTGACAGAATGGTAAACGTGGCAAGGTAAATGGCTTTTGATGGCCATACTACTACAACACTACATAATTGGGCACACATAATTTTGGGAATACTTTCCACCCTCATAGGGATGTTCCACCTGAAAAGCCTAATGACCAAAATGTTGGCACCCTTCTAACAGATTTGGGGTGGGAGAGAGGCAGACCTGCCTGAAAAATGCCGCCTGGGAAGACCAGCCATGGCCCTCTTCTATGTGCTGCCGTTACTTCTCCTCCTGCTCTCACATGCAGCCTGGATCTTGTACACCAGAAGAGATCAGTGCCATTTGCTTCTGGTTTTGAACCAATCCTATTTCCTGGAAGAGCGACTAACTTTTCAGAAACAACTGACTCAGCTTCTTCAAGAAGTCATCAGAAATGTCCACTGTGCCTCAAAGAGACTGAAAGCACAATCCTATTAATCCCCACTAAGTTCAATGGGGCATTGAGGCAGTATGTGATTGCTCTTTCTTCCTTCTCCACCCCAGGAGAGGCAACACAGGCAGGATTATCATCCCACCTGATATAATTCTGCATACATGCTGTGGCCAAGAAAATGTACTCACAGACAACAATGTTGTGGCTCACCACTTTTGCCAGTTTTTTTCCTCTGACAGGAAAAAGGATGAAACTAAGCTATTAAAGCAACTCATGAAAATTACATTTTGCAATCTGGGAATAATTGTGCAGTGTTGTGGTCTGCTCATTTTAATTTTAAAATATGCTGCTGTCCTCAATCGCAGAAACAGAAACTGAAAACTAATCTGAATCAGTTAATCCTTTCTTGAGCAATCAGGGTTAGGTATGCAAATGAAGGGGAATTCTGAGCTTAGAAAGCAAATTTTCACTTTGCATTCCAGATAAGAGAAAAGCCACAACTCTATGGAATCCAACAGCATCCGAGGAGCCGCAGGAGGTTCTGCTGACATGGCACCAGGGCCCAACAACCTTGGTGGGCTCAGACTCTGAGCCCACAACTTAAACCCCCTGCCCCTCACCATCACAGCCAGCACAGAGAGAACTGCCCCAGCTGCCTCTCAGAGAGCAACAATACACCTCGAAGAAGGGGGCACGGAGGGGAGAAGGCTGCCCCATGCCCTGGTGAAAGTCTCACGCATGAAGGCTCCTCTTCCGCAGCTGTTGCCAGCGTCTACCTTTCCAGCAGGTGAAAGTGAGGAAAATGATGGGGAGCGGAGAGCACCAACTTATTTCACCAGCCCTGTTTAAAAAGAAATAATGACGAAATCCCACTTCCCTCACTTCTTCTGCCTTGGGCGCCATGTCTTTTTAGACCCTATGCTTGTGGAAAGGCTTTCTTGTTCAATGGATTATATGCAAGCCACTCTGAAAGACTTTTATAGGTGAAGAAGTGGCATAAAATACTTCAAATAAATATTATTATATTGCATTTGTAATATAAATAATTTCCCCCAAGGGGGGTTACATATTCCTCCTCCTCTCCATTTTATTCTATCATCAACTGTGTGAAGCTGGTTAGATTGCGACAGAGAGACTGGTCAAAAGTCACCCAGTGAGCTTCATGGCCAAATGGGCACTAGAACCAGATGTCCCAGCTCCCCAGTCCAGGACCCTAACCACAATACCACACTTGCAGTAGTGTGGGGTTTGTTTGCTTGTTTGTTTGGAGAACAATTATACAAATTCTGTATTATTAAAAGCATTTTTTTTAAAAAATGCAAAAACCTGTGCCACAATCCCAAGCTGTTCAAAGTAGGCAAGAAGATAAAACAGAAATTAAAATCAATGAAAGGATAGTTCTTCAGACACACCCTTGAAGAATCTTTGATTGGAGAACTGCTTGACTGGAGAACTACTTTCTCTCTTACACAATCCCATGGTTGCCAAGACATAGTTCTAGCCAGCCATAGAAGCTGGAGTCCCAACTCTGACTACAGAACAAAACGCTCTTCCTCCAGCATTGCAGATGCACAGAAAGAACCACACCGGCTGAAGAAGACTGATCTCTGAGAATGAGGTTTCAGGATGAGCAGGGTAAATGAGAGGTTCTGCCACATGATGGCACCTCAGCCTGTCCTCCTCATATGCCAGAGGAAAACAGTTGGATAACCAAGAGAAACATGAAGACAGCCTTCATCTCTGTACTGCTTCCATCCTCCACAGGATGCCCTCCAGGTTCAGAGGGCTACAGCAGCAACGCTGATGGTGCTGCCCCATTAGTTTCCAGGGAAATAATGCAGCATAGCCTGAAAGTCTGTTAAACATGCATTATTCTAGATTGCCGGATACCTTGTTAAGTAAGCAGTCAGTCAGTGGATCCCAATTTCATGTCTCCAGTGGTTTGCTTGACAGTATCACTCATACATTATTTGTTATGAGGATACAGCTTACACTGGGCAGGTTGTTACCCTGAAGCTGTGCAAAAGTCCCTAAGGCTGGTTCTCTGTTGTAAAGCAGCTAGAAGGGAAGGGGAACCGGCCTTTCCTTGCCAAGATGCCCCCCACCCAATAGATTTTCTCCCACTCCCCTCTGTGGTAAACAAGGGTCCAGAATGGCAGCAGCAGAAACAGCTGGGAGCTGGAGGTTGTCAACCTATGGCAGGTGAAGAGTTAAACACCATCTTCCCTCCCACTCTTTCTCCATGGCAAATTGCCCACTTCCAAATATAATTTGCATGTCTCTAGTAGAGTACTAAAAGCAATTACATATACTCAAAATTTAACAAAGATGCACATTCTTCAATACTCATCTTTAAAATGAAGTATGTGTAAATTCTTTTTCAGCTTCATTCACACTTTTGATCTGTTTCTATAGTTATAAGATACTGAGAGTCATGCAAGCACACAAGGCTGTCTCTCACTCACTCTCTCTCACACACACACACTATAAAGCTGTCTCTTTTGAACTACAATACTATGAATAAGAGGTTCTAAAATTACAAATCCCAAATAGATTTTAAAAGCAAATGTGTGTGTGTATGCGGGGATCCACCTCCAAAGTTACTGCCATTACCACTAGCGTACTCACTTTAAGGAAAGAAAGGAGCTCGGTTGTAATCCACATTGGTAGTAAAGAGAAAAGATCTTTGCCAGAGCAGAGTCTGCGTACAGGGGTTTTCTATCCTTTGGACTCTGGTGACGGATTGGGTGAATTACGAAAGCTGTTCTCTGCAGAAACACACCCACTTCTATGACTCACAGGAGTTTCTTGCAGGGTTTTTTTTTTTATTATTATTATTTGAGCAACTGACAACTCCAGTTGAAAGGCTTTAAGAAAATTCAGCTTTGTCATTTTCCACCAAAAGGTGAGGGCAGGAGCAAGAAAAATGGTCCTGTAGTGAGAGTCACAATTGCCTCCAAACGGATGTTTATGAGGAAGCAATTATAAATTGGCTTTAGAATGACAGGTCCCTGTTGTGAAATGGGATGGGACTTGCAACCAAAGGCTGCAGTGTAGAGTGCTGCCAATCAAGGATGCCAGCCACTCCATTCCATACCTCCACCCCTGATTTTGCATTCTGTGTCGGACAGCATTCCATGGCTGAGCATGCTCAGTCACCACTGGGCTATACTGGTCTTATACTCAAGATTTTTTCCTCCCTGCCCCCTTTGCATTCCTGCAAACCTTTCTGTTTCCCCAAGTCAACTGTTTTGCGAAAGGATTGTATTGCTTTGACTCCATAAGCAAAAGCACTGAGTGCCAAATAGCAGAAACAGAAAGTGGCGATTGAATCAAATTTGGAAAAGAGTTCTATCAACCTGGCTTACCACAATGACTGAATGAAATAGGAATTTTCCATTGACAAGTTCTAAGAAGTTATCTTCTCTTCCCAGACTGAAGAAAATAATGTGGAGAAGTTCTTTAGAAATGATAGTATTTATTAAATGAAACCATTTTATGCTGAGTACTATGTATTATTTTCTTGTTTCCTACATTAATAAAATCATCTAAAATCTATAAATAAATTATACTGATGTTGTAAGATGCTGCATCAACATCAGATTCCCATCATTGTTTAAGAAATATGTGCACAACCACCAATCGCAAATTCAATTCTTCTCCTGGTAGTTCCAATCATACTATCCAGTTCCTGAGAAAAAAGTTATATATATTTTCCACTAGAAGGAGTTAAAGCAATCTCTTGGGAGTTTCGATTAAAGTAGACAGAGAACGTTGCCCTTTCTTTTACTGACTTCAAGTTGGCCTGCTTTACAAGCGACAATTGCTCATCATTCTAAGAAAAGAAATCTGGGTTATCATGAACAAGGAAATGTGTGTTCTTGAGTTGTTTGCTGCAATGTGTAAACCCAGAATTCTGTCCTGTATCTCCTAAAAGTCAGGGAAATAGCCAATGATCTGTTCTAGGTTTCTCTCTGGCTTGTTGGTACAGAGCTAAGCTGGAGCTCCTGGTTAATATGTTATACAGAACACATCACAGCCAGAAGATCTGTGGGTTGTTTAGTGACTCCTGCTTTGAGCCAAGCTCAACTGGGCAGGATACACCATTGTGCTTCCTCATTCAGGACATCCGCCCCGCTGTTATTTTCTGCGCCTGAAAATGCCAAGTAGCAAATGGGTATGATCGACATTTGTATTAGTTGCACTGTGCCCTAGCTCCTTTATGCCTTGAAGCAATCCTTTACCAGTCACATAACCATAAGGAGCAGGAAAAATGGAAAAATCAGACTAATCTATCCAGCAAATGTTGCATGCTTCCTAAACAGCTATCACTGGGAATGGGTTAGGCTTTTTCCAGCAGCCAGTTAAAACAGTATTAAAAAGTAAGGGCATCTTTAAGCATGCAAAATTTCAGAACTTCGAACCTTGCTGCAATAACAGTGTGCCTTGTATAAAGTGCATATGAAAACAACAAATTTAACAAAGAAAAAAGCCAATACTACAACCTTCTGTTTTGCAACATGAAAGTATGTTACCATTTAGAATGGAAAACTCTGCACTACAGCTTTAAGTGTTTAAGTCTCCAATGCTGATTGCTTAGCAACCAGGCATCCTTACCTAAACATGGCTTTTCAGCACAGTCACGACAGACTAGTGAGTCGGATAATGCAGTTCAGAGAAAACATGTATTCAGGAAGTACTTGAATTCAGTTCACATAGTGCGATATTTCAAGTATTAATATACTTTCTGTACAATAAAATGCAAAGAAAATGCTTTCCCAATAATTACATTCTACAAGATTATAATATAACAGGAAAACAGTAATTTTCAATTTCATGTTTTCAATGCCAGTTTTAAAAGTATGGAAGCATAAAGATAAAGATTGTACCTAACACTGCTCGCTGTTCAAAATCATTTGATCAAATGTTTTGATTTGATTTACATGCAGATGGCATATATGAAAGATTTCTCAAGCCAGGTACATCTGGAATCCAAAGAAATCAATAAAATGCTTCCACTAGCAAGTTCTAAGAAGCCAGTTTTCATTCCCAAAAGAACCATTCACCACAAGAAGAAAATAACATGAAAAAAAGTTATCTGAAAGCAAGGATTTCGCTTAACTCTCCACAAATACGTAAGACTAAAACCAGAGTAGTGAACAGAGTAACAAGGTACTAGCTGAAGCTTCCAAACATCTGCAACAGTAACACTACATATAATGCAATGTAGTAATCCAACCAGGAGGTTCCCAGGACAAGGAACCATGCTATCCCTATCGTGGAAAGGCAGTGAGTCAGCTGAGGCCGACAAAAAGTGCTCCAAGCCATAGAATCCACATATCTTGAGTTCAGGTGGCCCGCCAGATTTTGGCAGCCTGAAAAGTCCTAGCCAGCAGTGAAAGATGATGGAAGCCAAAGCCCAGTAATGTTAAGGACCAAGTGCTCCCCATCCCTGCTCTAGTCGCTGCACTGTTACATGAAAATGCACCCCGATCCTTCAGGGAAGTGCAACCCCATCCCAAACATACTGAACGCTGATTCACAGTCCCAGAACCACTTGTCCACGATGCCTGTGTCTTGTCAGAATGCAGCTTCCGCTTACTGGCCCTTATCCAGCTTTTACCAAGTTCAGACAACAGCCTGCCATCTCCACCGCCTCACCTAGCCCAGATGACAGGGGTAAGTAGGGCTGGGAGTCATCAGTATGTATCCCTTTGGCACCTCACTCCAAATCCCAGGATGACCTGACACAGTGACTTCATATAACTGTTAAAAGGATCAGCTGCAACCTTATGGGACACCACAGCTCAAATGCCATGGAAATGAGCAGCAATCCTGAGCATTCCTTTCTGAGACCAACCCTTACATGTAGGACTGGAAAAAATCACCATGCTCCTGAACCCATAGAGACAAAATAACATATTATGTTCAATACTATCAAGAATCATGATCAAGAAATTTAGAACGCAAACAGATTTCAGATAAGTCCTCTCTAATAATTACCATTAATTTTTGTGGTTCACATAAGCACAGATTGCAATTAGAAACCCTATTTTAAGGGAAGAGAGGAGACAAAACCTCCTTTGTCTGAAAACTAAGGAAAGATCATAGTTTTAGCTTCCAACACAAGTCTGTCCTTCTTCTTGGAGAAAACTAAACCAAAAATCATCAATTATTTCAAGGAGAACCTGCCTCCTAGTGGATGGAGGGGAGAACCAAGTACTAAAGCCATTGGACAAAGTTGGGAGAGCCCAGTTTAATCTCAGCACATTATGTGAACAGATGGTGTGGTGAACATCTTACCCATGTGGCATTATTACTTATGGTCCACTTTTCATATTGACTCAGGATAATTATTTGTTCCTTATTAAAGAAATACAACCTTTCCCATGACATCTTTGAATGACTTCTGGATGACTTCCCATGATGTATTTGTATGACTTTGTATAAACTTGCTTTATTCATTTACCATTTATTTCTAATCATACATATAACCATTGAAAAGAGACTACAGTGTAACTTCTGAACCAGACCTGTATTAGTCCAACTCATGTCTCAAAATCTTAACTTGCTGATATCTAAATCTATTATTTATGACTACACTAAACCTCCCATTGAAGCTAACTGTAAATCTCCCATTGATTTAATGGCTGTGAATTGCTACATTACCAAATAAACACAAATTATCCTCATTAAGCTCTCTATAGAGCTGTTCATTGCTTATACGTTGGTCTATTTTGTAACACAAAATTCAAGAATTCTTTCAGATTATGAAACTACTCTTATGGAAATCACATAAGTATAATAGGAGCAGAATAAATATATTTAACTCTACATTATTCTCAACAATATAAACATTTTATTTACATTGGTCTCGCATATGATAACAGGGGCCTCATGGTTTATTCTGCATAACAAGTTGCCTTTTCATGAAGCCTATGATCATACTTTTAATAATATCACAAATTTAAGAATACAAACTGGTACTTGTGATATTTAAGATTTAAGCCACTGAGCTGAGGGAGGCAGGGGGGATACTTTATATACAAGTAGCTCAGTCCCTTCCTTCCCTCCCTCTTTATCCATCTCCAAGGTAGATTTTGCAGAGTTGATGAGGAAGGCAGTGTGGTTCTTTCTGTGCCAACTGCAAGGAGCAGTTGAACTTAGGCCAGTAGCTGTCTCTCAGCCTAATATACTTCACATGGTGTTAAGATAAAAAGTGAGAAAGAATAATGAGCTCCTTTGAGCTCCATGAAGGAAAAGAGGAATATAAATGTTAATGAACAATAATTTTGTACCAATAATATACATGGTAATAAACTCAGTACGCTGAAGTAGTGAAAAAACAAGGTCGTTACTAGAAGTGGTTAGAGGAAGCATGTGAAAACAAACGGGAAACTGTTGATAAACCGTGCCACCACCCTTGGAATACTGTGTAGTGGTCACTCCATACCAGAACGGCTAACAAAGATTTGGAAACAAGCAACTAAACCAAAAAATCAAGAGGGCTGAGCTAATTCTCCACAAGGATAGACAAGCATTCGGAAATTGGTTGGAAAGAAACAGAAGCCACTACAGAAGCTTATAAAAACTTTGATGTGAAAGAGGAGGACTCACTCTCCTAATACAAAGGATCCAAGGTCATTTTATGAAAACAACTGGCAACACTGTCACTGAGTGGAGGGGGGGGCATTAATTTCACAACTTAATTCATGAGGCCTTTTTCTGTAAGATGCAATTAAGAGACCACTAGGCTAGATGATCTGGAAACACTGAACAAGTCCATGGTTAATTGATTATCAGCACTAATAACAACAAAAGCAATAATAGCTACTGGTAGACCTAAATGTTCACAAGCAATATACATTAGACTACCAAATTTTGAGAAGAAACTAGGGAAGACTGGCCTTTGTGCTCTTTCAGGAGGCATATGACTAGCTGCTGTCAGAAACAAACACCAGTGAAAAAACAATGGGAATACAAAACAGGTACAGAACCACATATACAAAAAAAGGAAGAAAAACAAAACAAAACGAACACACAAACCATATAGCCACATAGTAACAATCAGACACACTGAACTAGTCTTGAAAGTATCACTAACAATGTGTGTTTACCTCTATGTTCACGCATGCACACCGAGTTTTTACTATTTTTCTGCTTCCTATAGTTAGCAGAAAAGGCGTCCATTGGTTACCCATCCCCAACTATTAACAGTTAGAAAAATACCTCTGAAGCAAAAGATTGCATAGGTTATTTGAAGGATTGCCTGCACCCATATGTACCTGTCCAAGTCCTGAGATCTGCATTAGAGGCCCACCATCAAATCTGTCTCATTAGCAGGCACTAGACAGGGTATTCTTGGCAGTGACTCAAATCTGTGGAACACCCTCCCAAGAATCAGTTGCCCCCATCACTTTGGCCTCTAGAAAGGCTTTGAAGATATAACTGTGTATCAACTGAAAGGATCCAACACACCGTTTTATTGATTTATTTTTGAATTTGTTGTGGGTTATTCACTGCAAGTTATTACGCTTTTAATCTGCCCCATAACAGTTTTTCTCTGGATAGGCCACAAAAATCTTAAAGAATAAAGCTCATTGCAAAACAACAAACAGCAGAAAAATATATATTTATACTACAATAAAATCTAAACTCTAAACTCTCAAATGCCTGCAAGGAAGAAAGGTCTTTGACCGGCATCAAAAATATAACAATATAGGCAAACCTTTTTGGAAAAGACATCTCAAAAATGGTGTACCACAAGTGAGATAGCTCTCTTTCATTGCCACCCACTTCATTTCATTCTATTTGGCAAGATGATCCAGACAAGTATATATGGCAGGTTACATTTCTGTAAGTACTTTGGCCCCAAGCTGTTTAGATTTTTAAAGGTCAAAACCACCACTCTGAATTAGGCTCCAAAATGGACTGGAAGTCAGTGAAGCTGACAGAGCACATGACTCTGCAGGCCTGAACTGTGTTTCAAATGTTTTATTACACTGCAGGTTGTCTGTAGGTTATTGGTCATTTTCAAAATTGTGATTTTATGGTTCATATTTATTTTAATTTGCTCTGGCCAGTCATGTCTTGAAAGGTCATATGTATCTACACCTATTATAGCTATCAGCTGTCATTTCGAAAAGCCATTTTGAAGCCACAGGGGTAGTCATCATATCTCTGAATGTGGAGGTTCCACTGCGCTAGGCAATCCCAAATGACCCTCTTTGAAAAAAAAAGTACTCACAACGAAGTACATAGGTCCATGTTCAAAACTCCAGCAGCATCGGGTAAGCAGGACATATATCGCCTCTTAACTGTGTTGGTCATTAGACCTCAGTTCCTAATATTTACGTAATTTAAACATCCAACGCTCTCTGGGTGGTTTAATAAACAAATACATGGCTGAATGGGCATCACTCAACAGAATCTTGGTCTCTCCAGTCTGACACTACACTATGCCAGGTCTTTATCTAAACGTAATGCTGCAATCATATGCATGTTTAGTTCAGCACTTCCCAGCATGCCCCTGACAACCAGCCAGGCAGGTCCATACTGGGAATTGCAGGGCATTTTTTCTATTTTAAGCATGCATAGGATTGTGCCCTAAGCCATTTTAAACTTGCAGCAATGCCCAGTCCCAGTCTCTTGGGATATTTACGTTTAATCTTAGTTCAAAACTGTTCTGAGAATATAGCTCGACATATTTTAAAGATCCTGGCTGCAAACAGGTGACAAAAGACTCCTGTCCTTTGCCCTGAACAAAAGGTTATTTATTAAATTTGTGTGCTGCCCTTTCATTAAAAAATGCCCAAGGCACAAAATACTATGCAGCGTAAAACAGACATGCAGAGGGCAGAGACCAAATCTATAAAATACTCAGACAGGGGTAGGCAATGTGGTGCCTGCCAGATGTTTTCCACTACATCTCCCATAATGCCCAACCATTGGCCATAATGGCTGGAGCTTATGGGAGTTGAGGACATACTGTCAGCCTCTGCTAAGCAACAAGAAAAAACTATAGCAAAAGAATGCCAGATTTATCCCTCACCTCCCCCCATTTGAAAGTTTATCGATCAGCCCATCCAAACCTAGTGCCTCCCAGATGCTTGGACCACAACTTCAAGCATCCCTGACCATCAGGCGGACAATGTCCTGGAGCAGATGGGAGATGAAGTCCTACACCACTCCAGGGCCCCAGGCCGGGGTGGGCGGATCTATGAACCAGATCGACTGCAATACTGCACGGAAGCCTCTGCATGCGAACGCAGCGCGCGATCTCCAGCGGGGTAGACTGCCGCTGCACGGGGCAGCTCTCCCAGGTGGTAAGGAGCTCGACGCCCCCGCGCGAGGATGGCGGGGCCCCCTCCCCCTCACCAGCACGAGGGAGGCAGGCCGGCAGGCAGGCAGGCCGGCAGGAGGCCTAGCGCCCGCCAGGCCTGAAGTCCGCTCCTGCCGCAGAGCGCCGCCCCTCCTCCATCCATCCATCCTCCTCCTCCTCCTCACCGGCGCTGCCCCTCGACGCAACGGCGCGGCCCGCTCCGGCTCGGGCGGCGGGGGCACTGTCCCTTCCTGCGGGGCCCCGTCGCGGCCGCGCCCGCCCAGCGGCGCCCACACCATGAGGGGCGCGGCGGGGCGGCCTCGCAGCGGCAGAAGACCCGGCGCCGGGCTCGGAGCCGCCGCCTCTTCCCGGCTCTGCCCGAGGCTGCTGCTTGGCAAGGCCGCTCGGGCGCCGTCTCCTAGCAACCGCGCGCGGCCCCTCCCGCGCCTCATGATGCTGATGCCGCCGCCGGGAAGCGCCGCGCATGCGCGCCGCCGCCGCACCTGCCGCCCGGTGCGCCGGGCGACCCCCGGCCCCGGGCGGCCCCGGCACGGCTGTCCCGCGGGGCTGCAGCCGCCGGGCGGTGGCCGTGCCTCCCGCGGCTGATGGGAGTGGTGGTCCTAAAGCCGCCTGCAGGGCTGCCGGTTGGGAGAGGGTGCATGAGGCTTCGGAGCGTCCCTGCGGCAGGTGGAGGCGGTGGGAGCTGTCCGCGCGATGCGGGATGAGCGCCCCCGGGTCCCTCTCGCCCCCGGAGCGCCGCCCCTTGCCCGCTCGCCCTTTTCAATGCGGGCTGTGCGGTGAATTAGCCTTTTTCTGCGGGGGGGGGTGGCTGCGCGGGGTGCAAGGAACTGGCGCGGGGGATCGGGCTGGGTGTGTTTGTGGGGAATTGGTTATGTGTGGGGAGAGGGAATGGGCCGTGTGCGGGGGAGCGGGCTTTGTGTGTAGTCAAATTCTGTACTAATAATGGCATACTCATTCTTCCACTGGGGGTCCTTACGGCATGGGAAACCCCAAGGATCAAAGTAGTGCATAAAGTCTTTAAGGGGGGAACCCCTAAGTGTGTGTGTTGGTGTAGGACAGAGAATTCCCAAAAACTCGGTGGGCTGAAGGGTCCCTGGAGGAACGGGAAATGGGGACAATGCAACAGGGAATGCCCCAAATGGGGCTGGCTGGCTGGCCAGCACCCTGAACCGAAAATCTCCACTGCAGCATCTTGTTAGAGATCCCAGTTGCACGGAGTGTGTATAAACATCTCCCTACGAGCATAAAGTAGCACATGATGCAACAGAGCAGGCCAAAATAGTGTCTCGCTCTTCAGCGTGTTTGATGATTGTTGCTTTTTTTGCATGGACTTTGTTTACTATTTAATCGGAGGAACATCCAGAAATTCTATCCCCACCACCATCATCCACACACTGAACTGGTACTATTCATTCATCCCACTCAGGATCCTGACGCTGCACGCTGCCACACGGGGAGGCCTGCTTGCCTGATCTTCCTTATAGCCCTCCTGATCTCAAGACGGGGCAGAGGAAGGCAGAATGGACCCTGTCGTTTCAGCCTGGGGACTGAGGTCCCCCAGGGCAGAATGGTCAAAGTGGAGTCACCCAACTAAAGAGGCATCCAGCCCCCGGAGTGGAGTGATGGTCACATTAGCAGAAGAGAAGGGATCTCTGCAATAGTGATGGGGCAGAGAAACCTCGGAGAGGCAGTGATCCGGCAGCAGTGGTGTTGAAGGCGACACGAGCGAGGCTCTTCCCCAGTGGCACTCAAGCTGGCTCCGGTTAACAGTGCACAAAAGAAGGCGATGGCAGGCCACTTCTGCCTCTTCTTACCTTGAAAACTCTATGATGAAACAATCCCGAATGACTCCTTGTTACTGGGAGGACTAAAATATAATTATTTATAGTGATAGTGCTTCCTCTCAATCACAACATCCTGAAAGCCATGGAAGCTGTAATCCTATAAACTTACCTCGGAGTAAGACGCACTGAACTCAGTGAGTCGTTTTTCTGCAGAGGCATCCGTTGGATTGTGCCGTTCAGTCAAGGGAAATGGATGCAACCCCAAAGCCTTTCCTCTTCCTTGCCAGTTTTTCAGCCGGGTGGATTGAGGGCCCTACATTTCAGCAAGGGCCTTCTGGGTCGTTTTGTCACAGGCTACTTGTCTCCTGGACAACGCAATGTGCAAGCTGGTTAGAGTCATCTCCTTGGCGTGGAAGAGAGCGAGTTGGTTTGGGTTGGCAGATGCCGGTACCTGTGGGCTAAGGAGCCTGGATCACTCTCTGAGTCACATGCCATTCATTAATGGGATGGGAGGATAGGAGAAAACCACTGCATAATAATAAATTCAGCTTCCAAATACCAACTTGGGCAATAAATTAGTAAAGCCCCCTCCAAAACATTAGGCATCGATGGAGGGATGGCGTCTGTCATGCCCTGGAATCTCTCCCTTCCCGTCAGCTCTTCAGCCTGCCTCCTTCTCCCTCCTGCAGTGTCTTAGCAACCAAAGGAGATTCACGGGCCCACTGCAGCCCGCCCCCTCAAAGCAACTGTGCTTAATTCCTCTAATTAAATCCACACATCAAAGGAACTTGCATCCTCCAAATGTAACTGCTTGAAGCTGACCCAGTTTTCAAGTGGTCTCCTGAAACTGGGGGCCGGGGGGGGGGGGGATAATCTCGATTCATTGGCAGCTAGACTACACACTCGCCATCCTCCTGCGGAGCGACGTCAGGACACCTTGTCTGACACCTGCAGTATTTTCATACTCCCAAAAGCTCTTTGCCGCTCGCTGTACATCATATTCATTGATTCTTGCAATGGTAGGCCGCTACCTCCACCCAGCGCCTTTCATGTGTCTTGAATTACAACTTCTGCCCTTCCCGTCCGGCTGTATTAATTCTGCCAAATTCAATAAAACTTGCCTGCTACAAACGTGTCCCAGGTTTGATCTGCTTTCCATGCTGATAGAATGCGATCGTTCTGACAGCCCATCTCTGGTCTAACCACTCATCATTAGGGAGTAACGTCGTCAATTGCCGTGTTTTGTTGTAGCATCCAGCAATGAACCATTGATTGTGCCCTCGGTAACTATAGTCTGGGGGATTAAATCAAAGCAGCGCATCAATATTTTGCCCCATCTGCAAACAGCTACGTGAAAGGTCCATCTCACCGTGGCCATTCGGAGGGCGGTGAAGCATTTATATCTCGCCTTCTGCCCTCTTGTAAAGAACCCAAGGGGGGTTACGTAGATCCATTTTGTCTTTGCAGCAGCGGGCCTGTGAGTGAGCCACTAGCTCCAAGTTCCTGGTGAGCTTCAAGGCCACATGGGGACTGGAACCTGGATCTCCCCAGTGCTCCACCACCACGCCACAGCCGTCCTCGAAAGCTGAGAAGGATGGGCTGCAAGGCAGAGCATCCTCCCGCCCGTCTTGCAGAGCAACTGGCATTCAGGGCCACGGTGGTTTTGGTACTAGGGGTAATATAGCTATCATTTCCCGTACTGTTTGATAGCCACCTATGCCACACGCACAAATGAGACTAAACACACACTATTCTTCCCTTGCCAGAAAGGCAAGGAAACCTGGAGCAGGGGAGGCTGGGGCCTGCTGGGAAAGGGAGGAGTTCTTTTTGTCTAAACATGCTTAAGATTGAGTCTTGAAACACACATTCTTAAAGTTCTCTGTGGCAAAGGGTTTGGCCGCTTCCTTCACACACATTTTAGTGCTGAGATTTGCAATTATTCCTCTTGCAAGTTAAAATCCATGCTGCATCAGCCCATGGAAGATGCTAATATCTCAGGCACATCTCTGCCTCGTGCTAATACATCCCTTGTTTAAATATGTCACCTGAACATATTCAGTTCTCTACCATGCTCTGTGCAATCTAGAATGAAAATGAAAATTGTTTCTTTTTAAGAAATGGGAAAGCGTTTTTCGCCCGTTATGCCCTCTGAAGACTGCAAATTTTAGTTCAGCGTTTTGATGGAAAGGCTTCTCCAACATCCCTTTCGCATCCCTAACCGTCCCCAAAATAGATTTTTTTGCAGCACGTAACTAAGCAAAAGCCTTCTTTATCAGTGCAATCCTATGCATAAGTAGAAAACCCGATGCGTTCGGTGGATCTAACTCGCAGATAAGTAGACGTGCGATTACAGCCTATTATTTTCCCCTCTCTTGCACTCCTAACAATCTTTGACATAATTAGCTGTGACAAATGGAAAGATGGGCTGCCGGAAGCGTGAGCTCCGCGCTTTGCATCGCGGGACTTGTAGTCTAGGGGGCCTGCGGGAGCCTGAACCGCTATCAAGAGCTGAACTCAAAGTCCCGATAGGTTTTGCTCTCTCCTGCTGCAGTCTTTGCGCCCAGAAGTCTGGCGGGGGCGGCTACATTGTCTCTATTGTATTGGGCTTCCCTCCCAATTTTTTTTAATTTTTTTTTTTTGGGTACCTTTCACCGGAGATTTAAATCGCGAGCGAGCGCAAGCATGGCTGATGAACAGGAAATCATGTGCAAACTTGAAAGCATCAAAGAGATCAGGTAGGGAGGGGGCTGTTGATTCTCCTTCTTTTTCTCTCTCCCCCCGCACACATTTCTTGCAATCTTCCAGGAGACCCTCCGAAGCCCGAATCGACGCTTGCTCGCTCGCTTGCTCGCTCACAGCGGAGTCCCGCTGGGCTTCCTCCCAGGTGTGTGTTTGCGTGGGATTGCAATTCAATGATCTCTCCTACCTCTCCACACAACCGCCCCTCCGCACACCCCCGTCTTGCACTCTCACCGAAGAGTGGCTGCTTTTATCCCGGTATAAAGTAGCTATCGCGGGGGCTGCAAAACAATGCTTCTCTGCACGTCCCCAGGAGCTCTTTCCCAATCCGCGAAGGCGGTTTGGGCTGGCGGTGCATGCATCTGGAGTTTGCACGGCGGACTTGTTGTTGTTGTTATCATTGTGCTTTTGTAGGAATCGCTACTCCTGCTATTATTATTGGGTCCGTGCAGCGGCTGCAAAGCCTCAGGGCACAGACCCGCGGGCGAGCGGTTCTGTTTTGAGACCTCTGCGTTGCTTTGCAAGGATGGCGCGCTTAGAGATGGTGCGCCCTGATGTGTGCGCGTTTCCTCGGGAGAAAGCCCCTCTGGGTTCAATGCGGAGCTTCCTAGTAATTATGTGTAGGATTCCAGCTGGAGAGGAAGCGGACCTTCAAAAGCGCCGAGCGAGTGGATGCGCTTTCCTGGAAGGACGGCCCGGATAAAGTCAGCGGGGCTCAGCATGCAGCTTTCGGCCTGCTGGGTTTTTAAAGCGTTTTGCATATGTGCATTTGTGATGTGCACTGGAACTTTAATGCATGTGTGTGTACATGTGTGTATACACACATGTACACACACATTATTAGCAATTCTCCCAAGATGGGTTTGATGCATCTCTGTGTGATTGTTCGCTTTTCCCTGTTTTCTTTTTCTGTATATACATTTGTGGTTCTGTGCTTGTCTTGTATTCTCTTTTGTGTCAATTTTTGGTTTCGGTTGTTTTGTATCCTCAGTAATTACAAAGATTGTTTTGTATCCTCAGTAATTATAAAGATTGTTTTGTATCCTCAGTAGGCTTGTGCTGTTTTTTGGTTTTGGTTTTAGTTTTGTGCAAAGATTGTAAAAATCAAATAAAAATGCCATAGGGTTTACCTCTGTGTCACTTTGCTCAGGTTTCTGCAGTGCATCTCTGAGCAGGGCGAGCACAGCCCTAAAATTGAGTGTGTCCAGAAAGTGGGTGCATTAGTGTTTGCCAAGCAAAAGTACATCTGGAAGTGGTAAAATGCAGAATTTGGAGAATTCCTTACCAAGAGGAAATCAGACAGAATTTGTGCTGGGGACATATTCATAACAAGTTGCGCTTGAGCCAGGCTCATGAGTATCTTTCTTTGTGGAAGGACAAAATGTGCTTGGTGTTATAGCGATGTCGTCATTCCTTCTCAGCCTGGTTTCCTCTGGATGTGCCGCACTGCAATTCCCATCCTGCCCAGCCAGCATGTTGGGAGAGCCCCAGGTGGAAGCCGCAGCCAAACCTCAAAGGTTTTTCATATGTTTTCTTCCAGGCAGTTGCTTAAAGGAGTGAATTTTGCATGGAAGGTCCACAGAGGAAGGGAGATACTTCATTTTTCTATCCTTGCCAAAGACTTACCAGTGTAGATGGAATGGCTGAATGCCTCTTGGTGATTCAGAAATGCCACCCCAGCTTTTCCTTGATCTTTTCTGCCTGTTTTCCCCTCCTTTTCTGTTGCAGGAATAAGACGCTGCAGATGGAAAAGATCAAGGCCCGCTTGAAGGCAGAATTCGAGGCGCTGGAGTCTGAGGAAAGGCACCTGAAGGAATACAAGCAAGAGATGGATCTGTTGCTGCAGGAGAAGATGGCCCACGTTGAGGAACTGCGGCTTATCCATGCTGACATCAATGTCGTAAGAGGCAGCCCGGCAGGGTGGTCTTCCAGTTGCTCACGCTCCTTTCCCTCGTGCACTTGCCTTGGGAGTGAGCGCTGTTGCATTTGGTAGAGCTTTCTTCTGGGCAAACAGGCATTGGCTTGTGCCACAGAAGGGAGAAGAGGCTGTGTTCGGCAAGCATGGGCTTCTTAGTGGTGGGTGCCGGGAGAAGCAGAGTGTTGTGATCTTTACCCACTTTGCACATCGGAACAACCTGTGCTTCTCTAAACCTTGTCTGGCGTGAACAAAGCCGGAGCCAACGAGCAGGCGGGCTTCTATCATCTGATTGCTCCTCCTGCCATGCCTATAAACCGCTTACAGATTCGATTGTCTGAAACAGTATTTGAGTATTATTCAAAAGTAAACAACCCAGAGATGCTTCACCCTGGCTTTTCATGGCAGTTTGCAAGGCAGGAGTTCTGAGTGGTTGGCTGAGAACGTGGTTCAGTTTTCTCACCACCAGCAACCCAGAATTCCCAGCTTGCCAAGGTAGTGAGGGATGATCCAACCAAAATGTGCATCCTCATTTCGCTCACAACAGTCTGGGGAATGAACTGAGCCTGCCGTGTCAGTGTCGCTGCCGATGTTCTCATAGGTCTTGGCACCATCCCTGTCATCCAACCCTGGGCTTTTTCTGAGTGCCTGTAGAAGTGCAGTGTGCGTTCAGCCCCAGCTGGCCACCTTGCTGACCATCTGTTTGGTTTCTGAAGCCACGTCCTGACCTGGTACCCTCCGGGTGCTTTGGGCTGCAATTTCTACCATTCTTTGATGGTTGGCCATGATGGTTGGAGCTCATGGTGACTTGAGGTCCACCAGATTGGAGGAGGCCACTCTAGGAGGAGGTGAATGGGAAGAAACCAAGACTGTGTGGAGGTCCCCTGATGTCCAGTCTGGCTGGAGACCTGGGTCCCCCTGCTAAGGAAGAAGTGCACCGGTTGATTGCCTGCCCGCTCTTGTTTCAGATGGAGAACACAATCAAGCAGTCGGAGAATGACCTCAACAAGCTTTTGGAGTCCACTCGTCGTCTGCATGAGGAATACAAGCCGCTCAAGGAGCACGTGGATGCATTGAGGATGACTCTGGGCTTGCAGAGGTTGCCAGATCTGTGCGAGGAGGAAGAGAAGCTTTCTCTCGAGTAAGCTGGTGGGCACACGGCTTCAGCGAGTGAGGAAAGCGGGCAGTGTGGGATCCAGTGAGGAAGCCCCGTAGCAAGTCTCTCTTGCTCTGTAGAGGCGTGGAACGCCTGGCCTGCCCAATCCCATCATCCCTCACCATCGGCTGTGCTGGCTAGGACTGATGGGAACTGTGGTGCAGCAAAATCTGGAGGGCCACGCAGTTAGAGAGGAGCCAAATTTGAAATGCCAGGTCTTGAACCGGGGACATCTGCCATGCAGAGAGAGTGCTTTCCAGCCATGTCGCAGTGATGCAGCCAGGCCTTGAAGGGAGGCAGTTGGACCTTTCAGAGTGGGGAGGAAAACATGTAAAGCAGGAAAGGCTCGAAATGCTTTGCGATCAGGGAAAAGAGGCCTAGGGAATCCCTGGATTGGCCCAGGGCCTGAGGCTGTCCCACCTGAGCTGTCTAAACCACACACCTTCTGCACTGCACAGCGGGAAATGCTTGTTCTCCGTCCCGGATCTTAGCAGCAGAGCTAAAGTGGGCACGTGACACGGGGCTGCTGCTGAAGATGGCACCCCTCTCTGAAATAGCCCCTTCTCCTCTCTCCATAACTGGCCCATATTATTGCTTCCATCATCCTGCCAGGGCCAGCATGAGAAGGTAAGAACATGCTGGACCAAAGCAAACTGTGGCCCAGCAGTTTCCCAGAATAGCCATCCAGATGCCAGAGGAAGTCGGGGGGATGCTGTGGCAGCCATCTTGGCTGGGGCGCCTTGCTTATGGCCCACCCTCCGCTTGACCATTGCCCATGCTGACCGAGGCTGAGTCCCGAACCTCTGGAGGGGGCCGTCATGCAAGGCAAGTGAGTCCTGAGGCTTCTTTTGCTTTTTCTCTGGGTCTCCAGTTACTTCGAGAAGCAGAAAGCAGAATGGCAGACAGAGCCGCAGGAACCTCCCATCCCAGAATCCTTGGCTGCCGCGGCCGCGGCCGCCCAACAACTGCAGGTTGCCAGGAAACAGGACACCAGGCAGGCGGCAACATTCAGGCAACAGCCGCCTCCTATGAAGGTGAGGACGCCTTGCTTGGGTCGTGGGAAGGAAATCCTGGAGGGGCTGAGCTCACATCTAAGCTGATAGGAACCTCTCCATCCAACACGGCCAGATTCTTTCTCCTGCAGTGTCTGGGATGGGCAACCTCGGATTGTCCAGGCCACTACCTGCCCCAGAGACCACTCCTGCAAAGATCTCCCTGAATCCAAGATAGTGTGTTCTCCATAGCTGTTTCCTGCCATCTTTTTGGCACTTTTTTAAAATTTCCCTCCTTTCAGGGAGAGGCAATATTGCTCACCCCAAGCTACCCCAATATTTTCTACTCTGACTGCCAGCAACTGTGACGCCACAGAATCATACACAAAGCCTCATAGGCCAGTTAGACCTGGGTGGGCAGACTTCACGCCTGCAAGGTCTGCTTTGTTTTTCTGAGGATACTGGAACTAATCAGTGCTTGCAGTTCTTGCAAACACCTCCTCCTAGACGCCCCGAGGTCCTTCATTTCAGCAGCATTTTTTGTGTAAGTGGGGAGTAACCTTGTTGCTGTTGTGACTTAAGCACTGTAGAATAAGAAGTCCTTTGGGATGTGATGCACATCACTCAGAATTCTGCCGTTAGATCCAGAACTACCTTTGCCCAGCCTAATCCATCAGATTAGATAGGATGCTAATTATGTGTGCATAATAAAGGGCTATGGGCAGGAATTTCTGAAGGGGAGAATTTTATCTCTATTTTTTAAAAGGCGGAAAATGCCCCATTCACAATTCCGAGCACCAGCATTTCCTTTTCAAAAATAGCATATTCATGATCTTCAGATCATATTTGCACCTTTTTTTTAAAAAACGCTCTTTAAAATGTGCTTTTCAATCAGTGTAAGGAGAGCTATGCACTTGGAAACATGCACATCTTTCCTGTATGACATGCTCACTTTTCCTGCTTTGGGGAAGTAAAAGACACTTGTATCCGGAAGCCAAAAGAGGTGAAAGGAGTGCTGAGGTGGAAAAAGGACAAGCTCAAGCATCACTCATTTGCTGGTTCCTGGGTGGAAGTCACTGGTTCTAGCTTTAAGGAGTCCCTTGTTCCTAATGGGAAGCATGTTCTCCTTTCAGGCTTGCTTATCGTGCCACCAGCAAATCCACCGGAACGCGCCCATTTGCCCTCTGTGCAAAGCCAAGAGCCGCTCTCGGAATCCCAAGAAGCCGAAGAGGAAGCAAGATGAATGAAAAGTGGAAAACCTGACGAGAAACCAACCAGACCCACCGCACACACCTCCACCTTTCCAGTAGAATTATAAATGTGACCAGAGTTTATCCAAGTGCAAAATATGAGTGTGACTTGATCTTTGCTTTAGTTTAACGTGATGTAAGCACAACACCTAGTTGGGGTTTACTTTTTGTTGAGTCTTTTGATCTTTTTACTGTATAGGAGGACTTAAAGAGCTGATGGTGCTAAACCTGTAACATGTCAAATCATCCTTCCTTTTGGATTCTGCACACAAATGGAAGACCAACTGTAAGGCAAAGACAGAAGGAAGTTCTATACGGAGAATGCAAAGGCTAGTCTTGATTCAATTAATGATGCACATTTCATCTTTTCGCAGGTTGGAAGACTTCTTGACTCAACTTTCCCAAATTGGGTTTTCCATTCCCCTCTGGGCTTTTATTACTGCAGTGTTCTTGTACTTGGGCCATGCTCTTCCACTTGAGAGCACTTGAATAGTGCAGATCAGTGTCTGTCTGACTTTATAGGATGTGTACCGTTTCCTTACCTTCTTTTTTCTCCCAGGTATAGGCAAGGATGTATGTCTTATGTGCTTTAAAAGGGAAAAAAATGAAGTTCTGTGATAAAGGCATCCAAATCTGGAACTCCCTGTGTACGTTGTTCAATCCCCTTCCACGTGTAAACCCTGCAAATTTGCATTTTTCTACTGTTTCACTTAACTTTGCCGCTTGCTAGTTTTCTCATCTTGAAGAGGGCCAAGGAACCATGCAGGCACTTGTCTGACATCCCAGGGGAATGTCAATTGACCATCCTACCAAAGCTTCTGCAAGTATTGCCCACTAAAGTTAAGCATTAATGTTTGGAATGTTAAGGACTAGAAACTTGCTGTTTAGGGGAAATGAAAGTTGGAGGCTCTGAATTTTACACATTTTTAATGCTCCTCTAGAAACAGGAGAAACTGCCTTATGCTGAGGTAGACAATTTGTTCTCATAGCACAGTGCTGTGTACTCTTACTGGCAGAAGATGGTCGTGTTTCCCAGATTCCTTTAAATGAAGCTTTGAAACTTGAACCAGTGACTTTTTGCAGTAAAACCTGTACTCTTTCACTGTGGTTAAGGATGGCACACGTGTGTTCGTACACACACACAGCCCTGGCTGCAAAAGCATCCGCGGAGATCCTTCTACTCAACGTTTGCTGTGTTCATTTCTCCCTGAACTCCGAGTTCTGCCTGACAGGCATGCGAGTTGTGGAGTCCACATGGATAACTTTGCTCATTTTGCCATGGTCCCGAAGGCCAGCTTCAAACCAACTGTCTTGCTGGAAAAATGTGGGAGATGTTCAATTCATTAAAAAATGGCAGCTTTCCTTGCTCATCGTGCTGCTGATTCCAGCCAGAAGGCACTCAATAAAAGTAGGCAATGTGAGTGAGTATCAATCTTTAGGCTTGCTTTGCCTGGGCATAGTCAAATGAAAAGATAGGACACATAAAGTTCACAAAGGTTAAAGCATACCCATCAATTTTTTTTAAAGTGTCTGCTTGTTTTACAAGTGTGCAGTATTTTTTTTTCACATGTGAGTTAGATACTTAAAATATTTTTCACATGCTAGTCTATAGTCTTCTCCAAGCTGGTGCCTTCTGGATATGTTGGACTACAACTCCCATAATCCCCAGCCAGCATGGCCAATACACCTGGAAGGTACAAACCTGGGGCGACAGTAGCATCACCTAGTCCTTAAGTAGAAGGGAAGTAAGTTGTCAGCCTTGAAAAAAGCTGATGTAGGAATTAAAAAATGGTAAAATATCATTCTTGGATCAGCTAATGTTTTATAATGTTGGAAACTGTTTTGTTGTTGTTGTTGTGACAAATGTCAAGAATACCTATTAAAGGGGCAGTGTATTAAAAATCCATTTTTATTTACCTATTCTGTGTGCTGCTGGTCTTTATCGATTGAATGGGTTTGAAGAAGGGTGAACACGTATCCACTAAACTAGCATTGAAGAGGGTTGGTTTGAAATGAGCAACATTCTCTCTGCATTATATTCCATGTGGCATCTTAGAGGAGATAACGGGGTGAGCTCCCTGGAGAAGGGCAGAGAGAGTCTACCAGTGCTGATTTATTCTGGTTAGATCTGGGCCTCTCCGCTTGGGGCAGCTCCAGAGAGAGGGTGCTCAGGTCGTCAGCTTTTCAAGATGGATTCTGAGGTCTCTGAGGCAAATGCCCCTTGTGGCCAAGGAGCCGTTTCGCCATGACACACTCTGCCATCTGTTGACCTTGTTTGCCCACATTGTCACCTGTGGGCAGAAGCAGCAAGATCTTGCGCGGAGTTGTGGACTGATGTTTCCAGAGCTTCACGACATGATCAGGAGCCCCCATAATTCACACAATAAAGGTGTTGCTTCAGGGATATTCCAGTAACCAGCAAATTCTGGGAGGCTTTGACTTTGGTCCACTTCAAATTCTGATAAAGGGAAACCTGGAAGCCAGAACTGGGCTTGAGTGGAAAATCAAAGGTGGTCTTGAGTTTTGGTTCTTGAGTGCCTTTCAGAAACATCCCTTGTAAAGTTGAGTCTCTTCTTACTGCATTACACTCATATCCCAGCTTTCTTCTTGTGAGGATCTCACAGTGGCTCACGAGGTCCTTCTTTCTCTTTTGCCCTCAAAACAACGTACCCTGTGCGGTAGGTTAGGCTGACAGTCCATGAGTGGCCAACATTGCCCAGTGGGCTTCATGGCGAAGTGGGGACTAGCCATGACCCCTGGAGTCCCAGACCGCTGCTCAGAGCCACTGCACTACACCGGCTCTCGCAACAGCGATCCCCTTCTCCGAATGTATCAAGGAGTCCTGCTGGTTCAAAGCGGTGGTCCATCCAGCCCAACATCCTGTTCCCACGGTGGCCAACCAGCTGCCTTCCCCTTCCAGAGAAGCCTTCTCCATGTGCCCCATGCCCAGGGGGGCTCACCATTCAATGCAGATTTCTTAAATGGTACAGCAGCAATCCATACTGGTTGATCTATCTGGGGGCCAGAGTTCAGGATCATGGGGCCTGGAATAAAAGCATTTCGCCACTCACCGAGCAAAGCCGTTTTAAGAATATTCTGAACAGACGGGATAGTCTTGATTCCTGGAGTGCAGCTAAAAATGAAATAAAACCTCAAATGCTGACGACTGTATATGGAAATGGACGGCTTGCCTTTCACGCGGACCCAACGATGCGCTTGCTTGGCGCAAGCCTATCATGATGCATCACAAAGTTCCCCACTTCGTCTGGGCATATGTCCGTGGAAAGGAGCACATGACCTCCAAAACAGGGACTGCGATTAGTGTTCGCTACCAAGCCGAGATAAAGATTTGCCATTTCAAGTCACAGACCACGTGAAGGCAATTTTTAAATGGATTCGTCTGATGTTTAACTCAATTACACTAAACATATCAAATCCTGGAGCAGCGCTGACAAAATTAGACTTGCTTAATTCAGTGAAACACAATTGCCTCCAGCTCTGCTGAAATTTTGACTGTGTAAATAGTAAGGAAGACAGACTGCCTTAATTATCTCCCTGCAGCAGGCTACCCTGCTCGAGACACACGTCACTTTCGGGCAACGCGCCACCTTCCCAAACATGTGTCCCCCAGATGTGCGGAAATGCACCGCCGCCATCCCCAGCCAGAAGAGCAGCCTTCCGGTGCTGCACAGCCCAGCCAGGGCCCTGAGAAGATCCTGCTGGAATCGGTCCTTTTCCCCATCCCTGCAGCCTGCCTTTCACTCCACCCAGATGGGGGTGGTGAAGAGGAGTAGGGAAAGCCTCCACTTCCTTGATTGCTGGCTTTCCACCTGCCAAGAAAGCAAGTGGCAGCCATGGAGAGGAAGAGGCCAAGGAGCAGAAGCAGCTGGGGATGAGGGCATTCCATGGGGCTGAAGTGAAGAGCATCATGAGGATTTGCCACGTCACAAAATCCACTAAATACAGCCTACAAAATGCCATTCTGTGCCTTTTCCTTCTGGCCCTCTTTCTCTTTCTCTCTGAAAGATAATGCCAAACATATTCACTTGCTGTGCTGATTTGGTTGTTGCTCAAAATCCATTTAAGTAACTTACATGAGAGATCTGTCTTTTCCAAATGAATGCACCATAGAGCTTGTGACTTCCGTCTTGCCGTGTGGTCGGAAATCACAGGCTATGCGCTATATTAGTATCCTACCTACCCGCAGAAGAGAAGAAATCCAAAAGTTGTTTTATTGCGATGAATCATTCCTTTACATGTTCAAAAAGGGTTCTTAGCAGGAAAGAGTGTTTGGCAGACGGCCTGGCCTCTGGTTCCATCGGACAAATATGATCATGCAGCACTTGGGATGGCATTGCAATCAGAGCTGCAGCAAGACACGCCTTCCCCGCAGCTCCCCTCCACGCCACGCCGAGCGACAGGTTTTCCTCAATGGAGCAGGGCGGTTCACTGTCCATTAAATGGAATGAGATCACCGCTTGTCCTCGGAGCAAGACGATGAACGAGAAAGGCAAGCAGGTAGCACCCATTAGGCAGCGCTTTCCGAGGGAAGCATGAGATATGAACTGATGTGCTGTAGCAGCTGGCTGTACACGGCTTTGCACTTTGGTTCAGCAAGACACCCCCGGAATTTTTTGGGAGTGACCATCATTCATAGGTGGGGCACAGGCTTTGCACATGGAAAGTACCTGGTTTAGTCCTTGGTACAGCCAGGATTCTCTCTGACCCTTCCATTGTGCTGCTGCTTTACATGTATCATTTATTGATGTGAGCCGCCCCGAGGCTTCGGCGAATGGGGCGGCATAAAAATGTTTTAATAAATAAATAAATAAAAATGTATGGCTGTTATTACATGGTTTTTAAAATTGCATTTAAATGTGATTGCAATTGCACTTTTGTATTTTATTTTATTTTATTGCAAAGCCATAGGATTATTTGGAGTCCTAGCTCCAGGTTCCTGTGATCTTGGAGGTTAGGTTCGTGCCCCACTCACAGCCAGTATGAAAGAACCACACTGGCTGCCCCTGTGCCAAGGTGTCATAGCTGGAGGAGGGGAAACCATGCTAGCAGAAATGGAGAAGGCTGGAGCTGTGGATTCCATTGATTGCAGTTAGTGCCGCAGCTTCCTTTCTTCCATCTCCCAGATGCTAAATTTAGATCATATAACTTTTCATAGTTATATGGAAACCATTTGGGGAGTCTTCTTCGTATTAGCAATATTGAAATGGTACCAACAAACAAACCTGTCTGGGACCTTCTGGATGCAAAGAACCTGATAAGGAGTGATGGCAATAATGCTGCTCTGTCTGAAGCCCTGCAGAGTTGATGCTACTCTGAGTAAACCAAGGCCAAGGGGAACAAATATTCATCATGAGAAAGCAAGACCCCTGGGAAGGATCATCAAGTTAGGGAAAGTGAAAGGCAGAAGAAGAAAAGAAAAACTGGATATGAGATGGATGGAAGCCTTATTTCACCTGAGCCTCCAAGAAAGCGTATACCATGCTGCATTGCCAGCCTTTAAGGTGCTGCTGCACATTGGCTGCTGTTTGAAATGCAAGCAAGACTCACTTTGTGCTCTTCGCTGTAGAAATATGAATTCTCAGTATTAATGGATTGCTTTCCCCTTTTCTCTTTCAGAGCTTGGAAAGGAGAGTTGAAGAAGGAAGGGCAGCCTTTTGGGTTGTTTGCATCACTCTGTTCATTTCCTTGACAGCATCTGCATTGAGACATAAAATGTGGGTCATGATGAAAGATGAGCAATAGCGAATCTAACTTGATCAATTATTTAATAAAGCTCAGCATGAAAACGGGGCGACAAATCACATCAGAAGCTTATTCTTACCACAGATTAATAACTTTCATTTAGGTCTTATGCTTTCCTTTTGTGACTTGGTGCATTCACAAGATTTCAAGGCCAGGAAGTTTATTCACAGGTTGGGTTCTATAATGATGAGCATACAGGGGTGTCTCTGAGCAAAGCCAGGCTTCTTCAAAAACTGCCTGGACATTCTAATAAATATCTTTTGATCAGCGGTTACTTTGCCCACATCTGGGGGAAGGAAACCAAGGCACAGCCAGGGTTTTCTGCATCATGCAACATTTCCCTCCTTTTGTCCCTCTCCCTCTCCCTGCCCCCTTGTGACCTCAAAGATGCACCCACTGCAGTTATCTAGAAACATAGAAACAGAGCGAGTCAGAAGGGGTCCCCCAGGCCATCTAGTCTGACCCCTGCTCCAGCCGGCTCCGCTCATGACATGGCTCCCACGTGCATGTCCAGCCTATCCCAGAACAAAGGATTTCTACACCAGCTGCAAAGACGTGAAGGGTGCCCCAGGCTCAGAGGCCCAGCTATGAGACTGGAGAACTTTTCTGACCTTTTCTGAAAGCTCTGTGGACAACTCACAACAATTAAAACCACAAAGCACCTTAAAACACAATCTAAAAGTTTAAAACTACATTGTAAAATCAAAGGAATAACCACATAAAAGCTGGTAGCCTTGTAAAGATTTAAAATATGGCAAGGAAGCTGTGCCAGGGCCCCTGAGGTGATGTATTTGGGGGTGATACATTCTTTCTTTTGTGGTAAAAGTGTGATACATTCCTTCTTTTTTAGTGACCCTTCTAAGGGGGAGAAGGAGTGGGAGGGAAAGAAAGAATTTGGAGAAGAGCAACGTGATTATTGCTGAGAAGCATCTGAAGGGCGTACAGAGAGAAGAAGGGGCCTTTTTCCAAGGGCGAACTCTTCCCGTTAAACAGTCTGGGGATGCTGGTGCTGCTTGGAGACTTCAAGGCAGAACCTCCCCGCTCCCCATGCTTTGAATTAGCTCTTCATCGGATCCTTTCCTGCTCCGATCCTTTGTTACGAGATGAAGGAAGCAAAGCAATTCTCCTCTAACAGCGCTTTCTTTGATGGATT